CACCTACCACTCGGTGGCCAGGCTGCTGCTGAGGAAGAGGAGGGCGGTCCTGGCGACCTCCAGGGTCTGCCTGCAAGTGGCCTGGAGCACCGCCCTGGTGGAGAGGACCTAGAGTTAGGGCCGCCTTGTCAGGGTGCAGAGGAGCTCCAGTGGCTGCGCGGGGTCCCCCACCCAGGCCTCAGGGGGCACTCACACGACCCAGTGCAGACCCCGAAGGGCCAGCTCCTGCCCACTCAGCAGGGCCCGCGCCAGCCGCAGTGCCTGGTGACCGGCGCCGAGCACACCCTGAAAGCAGCGGGAAGGCAGGGTGAGTCCCACAACTTCTACCCCTGTGCCACACCGCCTGCCCCCGGGGCGGTGCTCTCACCTTGGCAGTGTTGTAATCTGCCTGCAGGTCCACTTTGGGGACGAACTTGGGGATGTCCACAGCAGCTGCAGACAAAGACCCTACGTGAGCGGCCTGCCTCTTCGACCTGGATCAACTTCGTGTTCCTGGCCACGCTCTCACCCTCAGCCATCATTGCTGGACTCTCACTCAAAGAGCCAAACCCAGGACTGTCCAGTGGGTCTTTCCAGTTGCCGTCGTTTGCTGACACCTTGTGGCCACTTTTGAGAACTACACCATCAAGTTTAAGGCACCATTTCAAGAAAAAAGGACCAAACCTTGCTGCTGTTTTTCCAAATTAATCTCCCTTCCCCACCGCGGAGGAGCAGGATGAAATTAAGAAGGAATGACATTTTTGCTAGAACTTCGAGAAAGGGTGAAGTTGGACTCCTGGCCACCTGCCCTTCTAACACAAACACCTCGTTGTATCCCCACCCGTTATGGAGACTCTGGACAGCGGATTAAACGCCACGGTCGTCTTGACTGGAGTTTTCTTCTCCTCTTTCTCTGAGGAGCCGGGAAGCCCACACAGGTCATGTGGCAGCTTGGAGCCACGGGTAGAATTGAAACCCAGACCTGCCTCTGTACCCTGGGGGCCCAAAGAAACACCCAAAAGGAAAACCTCTGCATCCGGAGGAGAACATCACTGGGACAAGAGAGCCAGCCTGGCTGGCCCTACTCACGGTCCCTGAAGGTCAAACCCCTGGGGGCGTCGCCGGCCATGCTGAACAGGGTCAGGGGGCTGCTGGCCGTCGTGAGGCCGATGTGCTGTGCTGGGAGGCCAGGCTCAAAGACACAAAGGTGACCCTCAAAGAGGTACTCTTGGTGCTGGGGGGCCACGTTGGTCTGTTCATACACAGCCTCCAGAAAGATGGCGATCCTGGACAGCAGGGAGATAGTCCGGTGAGGACAGTGGCCCGACGGAGGGCGGGGACCCGACTCAGCCAGAGCCCTGCTGTAGAGCTTTTCACAGGGGGAGCGGGGGTCTTCCTCACTGAAGATGGACAGATAAAGGGTGGGGCTCGCGTCTCACAGAGCGGGAACAGGGCGCAGAAGGCCCGGTGCCCAGTGCCTGCTTTCATGCCTGTTCCTGCTGCACTTGTATTAAAATTCTCCTGGTCCCATAAAGCACTCCATAAAGTAGGTCAGGAAATGTGCCTCTGCCACATCCATACTCGGTGCCTCCAAGCATTTAAAATGCACACGAATCTAAAGGCTACTGAATCTTTGAGGCGGGAACAAGGAAACCTGCCGACCTCCACGGAAATGGTTCTTTTCCACACCACGTTTGGACCCGAGGCTTCCCTGTCGGCGCCCCCGCTGCAGGTCCCCGGGAGACACCGCCGGAAGCCGGCCCCACTCACGTGTTGTGGGCGTGGATGTGGACATGGTGCAGGACGGACTGCGGCAGCGAGAAGACGTGGACCACGGCCCGCTGCAGGATGTCACTGGTCTCCGCAAAGAACTGATCGAAGCCCCAGCACTTGGCCTCGTCCACCTCCAGGATGTTGGCCAGGATGGGCACCAGCTGGCTCTGCAGGCCCCTGCCTCCCGGATACGGAGACTGTCAGGTGCTGGGACAGGAGCGCCCCTCATCCTGGGAGAAGGCCCCAGACCCATCCTGGGAGAAGGCGGTGGGCAGACAGGCTAAGGAGGGCTTTCTGGAGAACCCAAGGCCACAAAGGCAACGTGGTGTCCCCCGCCCACAGCCTGCAGCAGGCTGGGGCTCCGCTGGGCCAGCCTCGGGAGTCCTGACTCATCAGAGAAGGGGGTGCCCGGCCTGCTCACATGGACAGCTGGCAGGTGATGGGGAGGCTGTAGCTCCACTCCAGGGGCCCGTTTTCCCGCCTCTGAGCTCCCGAGATGGCCCCTGCCGGCTTCTCTCTGATGATCCGGTACCTGGGGCGGAGCAGGATGGAGTCAGCAGGGCCCCAGAGTCCACACACTTCAGGGGCTGGCGAGCTCAGCAGGGGTGGGTCCATTCTAGCCAGAAGTGGTCCACACAGCTCGGCCGCCTGGGGCTGAAGGAGTAGTCCCCACCCTGCAATCCAGTGCCAAAAGGCGAGTTCCCCAAGGACCTATCATTAGAGGCAAGACCCAGAGGACTGGGGGCTAGAGCCGGAAGGGAGTTGTTACTCGGTCACCGCCTGCCTCATGCTTCTGAAGGTTTGCGGGAGCCCTGATTTAATTCCTTCTCGCCCATGCCTGTTCCTGCAGGGCTCTGCTGGGATGCAAGCCCAGCCCACCTGGAAGCTACAGGTCCGGCCCAGGCCTGCTCTCCTAGCCCATGGCTCACCTCTCTTATCCTGCCCCTGCTGGGTGAGCAGGGAATGAAGGAGGGGACGAGGAGCCCGTGCCAGGCCCCGGGGAGGCTGAGGCAGAAGGCCTGTGAGTTTGAGCTTAGCCAGACTCTGTCAAAATGAAAATAAAGGACTAGAGATGCAGCTCAGTGGAAAAGGCACCCCTCATATTCTCAGTAGCAGAGAGAGAGGGACAGCAGGGGCATGGGAGATGAGGTTGCCCATCAAGAAGCCAGGGAGAACTCAGCTTCTAGTTTGTGATTAACAGACCCTAAAAGAGCCTGGGGTGGGGTGGGAGACAGCAGACAGCAGCAGGGCCAGGGCCAGCAGAGAAAGTGGGCTCAGAACAGCAGACCCGGGGTCTGCCAGGAGCCGTCCGGGTGCATTCCTTGCCCGTACATGATCTGCTTGTTGCGCCGTGGCCCACCAAAGGGGACAAAGGGCAGGCTGCCAGTGGCTGCATGGTACAGGGTCACCCCGATGCTCCAGAGGTCCACAGTCACCCCGAACGCCTTCTGCTGGGGCTTGTGCAGTACCGCGCGCTCATACATGTCCGGGTGCTGTGGGAGAGTCAGACAGCAGCATAGAGGCCGGGCTGGAAGGGCTGAGAGCCCCCCCATCAGACCCTTCCTCAGCCTGTCGGTGGAAACAGCCTACAGAATCCATCTCCTTTATCCTCTTAAAAATGGGGACTGTAAGCCCAGCACAGTGGCACACACCTGTAATCCCAGCACTCAGGAGGCTGAGGCAGGAGGGTTGCCACAAGTCTGATGCCTGCCTGGGCTATATCACGAATTCAAGGCCAGCCTGAACTACATAGTAGGGCCCTGTCTCAAAAAAACAAAAGGCGCTATCACCTGCCCAGGGGCGGTGGTGGCTGCTCCGCCCCTCCCTCCTCCGCGAGGGCCAGGCTGGCCTGGGCAGGCTCAGTGCCTCTGCTATTTTAAAGAACAGGATAGGGTGCGTTCCCCCGGCTGGGTGCAGGGTGAGTGAGTGCTACGGACGCCCCGCACCAGGTACTCCTCGGTTCCGTAGACGGAGATGAACTTCTCATCCTCATCCAGTTCCCGGGCGGCCCCGAAGTCTGTCAGCTTGTAGATGCTCTGCCCCTGCTCTCCGACCAGCCGCATGATGTTCCCCGGCTTGATGTCTCGGTGCACGACCCCGTGCTCCCGCAGATGATTCATGCCGGCCACTGGGACAGAGACAGACCCGCAGCTAATCGGGCCACTGGAGAAGCAGACAGCTGGGCCCGGGCAGGGGTGCCCCGCCATGGGATCTCTGTGAAACCACACACACCCTGCCCTCTCGTGTGTGCACCTAACGATTCACCATCATCACCACTCTTAAGCGTCCAGCACAGTGACCCTGGACATGCAGATGTCGCCTTCATCTCCCGGACTTCCTCACCTCCCCACACTGAATCACACTGAGCTGTGATCCCTGTCTGGCCATCTTTTAAAAATTATTATTATTTTATTTCTGAAACAGGGTCTCACAAAGTTACTGACTTGTAACTAGGCTGGGCTCGAATTTGCAATCCTCCTGCCTCAGCCTCCCAGAGGGCTTGGATTACAGGCATGTGCTGAGAATTTCCTTCCGTTTTAAGGCTGAATTATAATCAACTGCTTGTAGGTAGCACATGTTTTCCTTTTAGGCTGTTTCCACATTTTGGCTACTGTGAATAATGCCACCTTCAACATCGCTGTGTGATCTTTTTTGAATTTTGTTTTAAAATTGCACATTTTTAAAGCAGAGGCATGGACTGTGTGAACGGACAGCCTCTTGGGTTCGGGACTCCTTCTTTGTTGGGGTGCTGGCTCCCATCACGCCCCTGGGCTCTGCCCGGCGGGGTGCAGGCCGAGTCTGGGTCCTGAGGGAAGGGTGCTCACCCACGCAGCGCAGCAGCACCAGGAACTCGGCCTCGGGCAGCCCAAAGGCGTTCTCAGGGCGCTCCAGCACGCTCAGCAGGCTCCCACTGGCACAGTACTCCATCACCAGGACCTTGTGCTTGCTGGGCCCCTGCGGAGAGACTGAAGGCTCAGAGGAGGCGCCCTGCTCCTGGCCGCTGTCCCCACCGGGCCCCGGTGACCAGACTTCCCCTGCCAGGGACCCACCGTCTCCTCCACGGCGAAGAGCTTGACAATATTCTGGTGGTTGAGCTTCCGCAGGACCTCGAACTCCCTCACCTGCACCTCACGTGGCCGCAGGTAGCTGATGGTGTTGAAGACCTTCACGGCCACCAGCTCCCCAGACTTCTGCATGGGCAGGGGCGGCGTGGGCACCCTGCCTGGCCCCAGATGCACTCCCCCCAGCTCCCTGCTGGCTGGTGCTGCCCGGATGTCCTACCGGCCAGGCTGTGGTGTACGTGTTGTTGCCATAGCCCTGGGTGCTGGGGGCCAGCGGGCGCTCACTAATCACAGCCGGGCTGGGATTGGAAGACTGAGTGGAGCGGTATCTCTGGGATGGGTACAGCTCAGAACAGGAGCAGGACAAGCCAAACAGGTCGGGCCTCCCACCTGCACTACCCTGACGGAGCCCCAAGGCTGCTGCCTACCTTGTTGCGGGCCTTGTACACACTGGCCGTGGCCCCCTGCCCCAGCAGGTCGTCTGTGTACCACAGGTAATTGGCTGTGCTCTGCATCTCCCGCCCTGGGCTGGCTGGACCCCTGTTACCTGAAAAAGCACACATCAGGGGCCCTAGGACTCTGTCCCTGCCCTGGACCCCCAGGACAGGCTCCGTGTGGCCATTTCACATGCACGGGAGCAGGGAAGGGAAGGGGGAGGCACAGAAAGGTTGAGTAACTTCCGCCAAGAAGCACAGCACAGCGGAGGTGGCAGTGCTGTCAGCCTGGGCCTGAGGCCAAGCCACCCCCAGGACAGGTGCCTCCACCCCACCCACCGCCCAGGCCGTTCTGCAGACGAACCTCCTCACTCACTCCTTCACCTCTCCCGGGCACTGCGGACTCTAGGGCTTTGGTGTCCGTGCCTGGCACCGTCCCAGGAAGCAGAAATAGTGCGAGAGGAAGGGCCCGGGTCAGTCACACCGCCGAGAATCTCCAGGATTGCAACACCAGCCCAGAGCCCACCCCTCGCCTGCCCGGCTGCCACTTCCTGCTGCCCAAGCCGACAGCTGCTCACCAGGCCACCAGGTGCTGGGCCAGTGAGGGGCAGGCGGCTGTGGGGAGGATCTGAAAGCCCTCTGCAACTCTGTTCCCCATCTGTGCTCCCACCCTCCAGAGCCGGTTCCTCTAACACAGCTGGCCCCAGAAAGTGTAGCCTCTGAGGTTAAAACTCAGAGTCTGAAAGCAGGGCTGGGATGCCGCCCTGGGGCCAGGGCATAAGAGGGGTCACCATCCCTCAGATATGTGAAACAAGGCTGGACCAGGGAAGGCCTCATCCTCCTTCACGTGGCCCAGATCCTCAGGCTGAGCATTGCTGCTTGGAATTCTACATCGCTTAGCTTTGAGCCTTTTCTCTCTGTAACTGTTTTTAAGAATGCAAATGCTGGAGTGTCCAGTGCTTGAGCCAGAGGCCATTGGGAAAGGTTGGAGGGTGGGAGACATTTGCATCATGCAGGAGGCCCCAAGGTCCCGAGGTTTGGGGTACACAGCAGTGGCCTGGATGCTTGGGTTGGTCAGGGCCCCGACTCCCAAGGCTGAGGACAAGACTGCAGCCCGGGACCCCAAGAGGAAGGGGAAAGCCCCGCCAGGCAGCTGCAGAGCAACAGGCTGTACCACCTCCTTCACGGCCCTCCCAGGGCTGGTCCTCCCCAGGGCCAGTGAGTAGCTGAGAATGCCAGGGTGGGCAGTACCACTGGGCCCCTAGCCTGGGAGCGCTGCCTGCAGCTCATCCGTCTGGACCCTGCCTTCCCAGCCTGTTCCCACTGCCCACCTGCCTGACACGTGTGCCCAGCTCTCAGGGAGGAGCCCTTGGGTTATGGAATCAGGGAAATAAAGCACCTGAGCTACAGACCCACCACTGCCTCCTTCCTGGGACCTTACCGGCTCTGCGGGTCAAGTCAGGCAAAGGCTGTCCCAGGCAAGCAGGCGCTGCACTTTCTGTCTGGGGCAAGTCCAGGACCCGAGCTACACCGGAAAGAGGAGGGCAGGGCAGGGTGGATGAGGGGCCCCCATCAAAGGCTACCAGCCCCAGCCTTTAACCCTTTTCTGTTTGTCACTCCCCCAGCACACACACACACACACACACACACACACACACACACACACACGTACAGGCAGGAGGGGGGTGGTTTCCAGCCTTACTCCCAGGGCCCCTGGGGCCTTTTCCTGGCCACTCCCACTCTGGGACTCTGGCCAGGGAAAAAGGCCCCAGGGAGCCGGGTCACCTAGAAAGCTGAACCACAGCTTGGGTGTCAGGAAGCAGAGTCCGGAGTTGCACCAGTGGCCCTGCGGGCTCTCCTGGAACACCCCTCCCTCACCGGCCTGCTAAGTCCTTTCCACGAGTGTCCTCCAGAGAGGGTGGGCAGGACACCACCTGGCCCCCAGTGGCCACAGAGCAACCCAGGGCGGGCACAGGACACCCCTCCAGGCCTTCCCCCACCACGCCACACTCACCCCATCTTGGCTGCAGGGGATGAAGGTTTGTGGGAGCCAGCAGCACCCCAAACTTTCAGAGGCGGCACATATTCACAGGCAGTGCCCAGAGCATCCCGGTGGCCATGGGCCAGGACCGCAGGCAGGACCAGTAGGGATGGTCTTGTGCCTCCCTGGGAGCTGCAGTAAGGGTTTGAGCCCAGGCACCGGGCTCTCACACTTCCTGATTTCGCTCCCCACTCTCTCCCTCTTGCTCTCTCTCTTAAAGAGACAGCGACTCTGTAGCTGCCCCACCCCCACCCCACCCAAGCAGGAAGGAGCAAAAGGATCCCGGGTGGAGGCGGCAGGACCAGCGGAAATGAGGCTGGGCTCCCTGTTTTGGAATCCGGTGTGGTGCCCTGGAGTAAACAGAGCAGGTTGGGCAAGTTAACTGAGCGAAGAGTTCCCACCCCAGGAGGTCCAGAAGAGTTCCCACCCCAGGAGGTCCAGGACCGTGCCTGCCCTTGCCACTCTGGCAGAAGCTGGATCTGACTCCCTTCTCCAGTGGGCAGCTCGGCCCCTCCCAGCAGCTTCCTTGACCCAGGGCTGGCAGGCACTGACGCACCTCCTTGGAGATTTAAGGCCCAAACCTACCCATCAATAGCTGGCCCCAAGCTTCAGAGGCTGTGGGGCTGAAGGCCAGGTGTGCCACCTCTCAGCCGGGGCCCAGCGACCGGAAGGTCCTGGAAGGCGGGAAAGGTCCATGCTGCTCTGGGCAGCTCTGGGTCAGCAGTTGGATATGAAATGGTTAAAACCAGGAAATTCCATGTTTCGATAAAATGTTGGAGGGACTTTCCCAAGGCCACACCTGGTAGTTTCCTCTGCCAGCTCCACCCCTCAAAGTGACAGCAGAACTAACTGCCTCCTGCTCAAAGAGATTTACCTGCTGATAACACGGGAGCCTAGCGCTGTGCAGTTCTCAGCACAGCCAGGAGCAACAGTGCAGAGGCAGGCTGGGCTCCCAGCCATCCCCCTGCTGGACACAGGAGAGAACTGCACCTCCTTGGCCCTGCGGCTGGGAGGGAGAAGTCTGAGACTTCTGTTAAAGCAGTTCCGGGGACCTCTAGCTCCTCGACCTCCGCTGGGCCACAAAGGCTTTGTAAGAAATCTGTTTGCTTTAGGCTGCTGAGGTTTGCACCATAACCTGGCCCATCCCTACATGTTACTCACCTTCCCTGAGCCAGCCCTCCAGCCTGCCTCTCCCCAGCCCAATGTCTCCTTCCAGTGTCAGGGCTGAGACCAGGACCTCGGGGTGAGAGCTGTGCTGTAGGCACTGGGGCCCCCCCAGCTTGCAGTACGAAGAGGCAGGGCTCCTCAAGGTGACTGATTCTGAGTGCCCAAGCCGCTGGCTCAGGAGGCGGGGCCTGGTCACAAGAGGCCGTCCTGGACCAGACCTGGAGTAGACCTCCCTCCCCGGCTTGTCCCTGTGCCCTGTGCCCCCTGGCCCCAGGGTGAGGCCTTCTACTGAGCCGTTCTGTCTGGAGCCAGCTGTGACCAAGGGCTGTGACCATGGCCAACATAAACTTTCCTTGTAGGTGTTCTGGGTGTTGGGTTTTTGTCTCAGCGATGAGAAAGTGACTCAAGGATCCGTCTATCACCTATCTAGCAGGCTTGTCTCCGCCTTTGTCTCGCCGGCGTCCCTGAGTCAGCACCTCCTCTGTGTGGGTGTGTTGCACGCGTGTCCAGCCAGCGCCCCAGCTGGGCAGTGCCGTCCGTGCCTGGTCCGGGGTGGGCGGGGAGTCTGGAGGCACCTGGGGTGGGGGAGACGTCCGTAAGAGGCCTTGCCACATTTTTGAGTGGCTCTGAGGAATCCCGGGGAGAAGTGGCCCAGGGGAGGGTCAGGACCAAGGTGGGAAGGGGTTCCCGGTGGCTCTCGGGAAGGAAACCCCTCTGTGGGTCTCTCCCAAGGAGGCTGAGGGCAGGGGAGCCAGTAGTGGCCCGAGGTTTGCATCCTGGCTCTTATCCCGGAGACCTTGGCCGAACCCCTGCACCACGCTTCCCGGGTGTGTGAAGCAAACCGAGACGAAACACCCGGTGCCTGTAAGTTCTGAGCAGGACGGGTGTTGGGGTGGGGGGTGCATGCCTGTCATCTCACCCCCTCGGGAGGCTGAGGTGGGAGGATGGCGTGGGCCTGGGGAAAACGCGGAGACCCTGTCTCAAAGTGACGGCCACAGAGTCGGGCTGGGCAGAGTGCATGCTCGGTGCGTATGCGGCTCCGGGTTCAGCCCACAGCACCATGGTCCCGAGAAGAGCGAGCAGGTGGCATCAGGGCTTCGCCCAGGCTCACCTGCCGGCACTGTAAGGGGAGGGGAAAGCAGTGGGGGTGGCCTGCAGGGCCAGGTACATTCCCCGTCCGTCCTAGCACAGAGGACCAGGAGATAGCATCGCAGAGCCCTGATCCCCGCCACCCTCGGGTCAGCGCTGGCCAGGAGCTAGTGTGGGGAAGGAGGGAGAAAAGCCACCACCACAATGCCCGCTGTTCCTGGTGTGCAGTCCTTCCCTGGGCTCCTCCAACTCCCCTCTTCACCCAACTCTCCACCAAGCAGCAGTCCACCTCACCTGCCGACAGGAAGACGTGCCCCTCGCTGGCCAGGCCACCCTGTCACTCGGGCTGTGACCCTTGCGGTGTGGTCCTTCTTCCCGTTCTGCTGGGTCCTGGCCACCAAATGAGGCGCTTTAACACTGTCCTTTTATTATTTTCGTGTGGTACTGAGGATTGAACCCGGGCCTCCACACTGAGCTGTTTATATTTTGAGACAGGGGCTTGCTAAGTTGCCCAGGCTGACCTCGAACTTGCGATCCTCCCGCCTCAGCCCCCAGAGGGCTGCACTTGAGGTGTGCGTGCACCATGCCCAGCCTGGCTCCACCTTGAGAACAAAGCCTGGTCCTTTGCCCCTCGATGCCGTCACCCACCCACTTCCCTTCTCCTGCCCCCCCCTGAAAGTGCTGTCAGACACAGTCAGGGTTTCTGACCTCGTCACTCACTCCACTGCGGTCCCTTCCTCTTTGTTGGGCGCTGCCTTCCCTGGGTCTCCGTGACCGGTGCACCCCGTACCCACCTTCCTCGGCCGCTGAGTTTCTAAGGTGAGGACGTTTCCTGCTTCCTCTCATCCCCGCAGGATTCTCAGCCCGAGTGTTTGTTTCCAAGCTGGCTCCCTACCCCTCGTCCCAGTCACACATCTGCCCAGGTCCACAGTTTCCACCTAGACGCCACCCGTCTGCAGCACTGCTAGGCCAAGCGGGGTCTTGCTTCCTCTTTCCCACCACCGTGGCCTCTCCTGACCGAGCCAGGCATTCTCTTGATAAGTTGTTTCATTTTCCAGTTTGATACCTATTTTACTTATGTATCTGTCCTCTCTGACTGGGAAGAGAGCCCCATTACCTGTTTAGCACTGTATGGCAGTGCTTGCGTGGAAAGGCTTAACACTTGCTGATTGACTAAATGTGAGTCTTGGTGATATGTAATATGCCAGGATTAACTCCTGAGTAAAAGGAAGCTTCCTGTATCTGTACACATTTAGATGAAGTCATCTTAAGGACTATCTCCTAAACTCACACACCCAGACACCCTTTTTGGTTTCTATCTGGATAAAATGGACTTGTTTCAACTGCTCACTGCCACTCACTTCCATCAAGGTCCCATCAGATATATAAAAGCCTGGTGTGGTAGTGCACTCAGGAGGCCAAGAAGTAGGATCACCAGTTGTTCAAAGCCAGCCTGAACTACATAGTGAGACTCTGGCTTAACCAACTTTCTCTGCCCTCTCTTACCAAAAGGAAAAAAAATAAAGAGTACGAGGCAGTAGCCTTGGCCTTAGGACTCACTAAAGGTCTCTTTTGTCTTGTCACAGCCCCAGAACTGGCTCCTCCCCTTACGCGGGTGCTGTAGGCCCAACTTTGCTACTTTGCTCACTGGCTGGGGTGGAGGAACAGCAGGAGAGCTCAGGAAGTAGCCAGGCCACTGACCAGGAGGGGAGGGCGACACACAGCAGGCCAGGGAGGAGGAGTGTCCGGCCAGCAGAGACCCTTACGTGACCCCAGGACCCAGGGAAGCCCTCAGCAGAGAGGTCTGATCCATGCCCGGGTGACCAGACGGTGGCATGGGTCCTCAGGGCTCTAGAACCCGTGTTATCTTTGACATTCTGCTTATTAACTGTGTATTTATAAAATATCCAGGGCACCTGTTCCCAAACCCAGACGTGTGAGAAGACGAATAGGCCGCACAATGAAGACAAACGGGCACAGCAGGAAGGGCTCAGGGGCTCTGTCCTCACCATGCAGGTGCTAGGACAACAGCCTGCTCCATGAACCAGGGGGCCTGCTGGCTCCACATGCACTTCTCTCCCGGAAGTGGAGCGGGTTCCAGGCCAGGGCTGGCCGGGCCGCTGCTCAGGGCCTGTGACCCCGCCACAGGAGCAGGAGCTCAGCTTGTGGCCGGAAGTGCCCAGCTGTTCTCAGTAACCTTAGCTCCCACATTCCACCGTAACCTGCCTCCTCCCCACCAGACAGGAGGGCCATGGGCCGTGGCTCAGGGCCCTGGTCACCTTCCGTTGTAGGGGCAAAGTTTCCAATCAACTTCTTAGGCTTCACTCCTCCAAAGGGGCTCTCTGACTACAGACAGAAATAGAACGGTCCTCACTGAGGCCGGGAAGGAGGATTCTGTGAAAGAAATGGTTTGCATGGCAACAGACTGGCCAATGGCGAGCCAGGAGACTGCGCAATGTCTTGGGGTCCATGTGCCAGCTGAATGAAACACTGGGGAAAAAAGAAATCCACATTCTAAATGCAACTGTGTTGGGCTGTGGCCGGGGAGGGAAGTGGCTGGCTCAGATCACCTCTTTCCACCCTCCGTTGCCAGGCAGGGCTCTGACAGCACGGACAAATCCAAACCTCTTCTGAGCAGCTGTGCTCCTGCATCAGACAGCGGGGAAGGGATGTAACTGCAGCACCGAAACCTAAAAATGTATTTTATTTTGAAGTTGTGCTTTGGATTTTCCCCAATCCAACATCTGTTGAGTGACAGTCTTAGGTTCACAAAAAGCATCTCCAAGCATACATACAATATTCCAGTTATCAACACTATTTAAAGAATATACCATTTTACACGAACTTGACATAGAAGTCAGACACCACAACATTGCATTTCCCTGGAAGGTCTATCTTCCCTTCTGAAGGTCAAGTCCATGGACACCAGCCCTGCCCTCGGTCTGTTCCTTCTGATGCTGGTGCCAGTGCTCCTGTCTTGGGGAGAAACCAGGGTGCCCTGAGGAGGCTGGCTGAGACCAGGGTTTCCAGTTTCCAGGCTGCTGGCTGCAAATTCGTTTTCCAAAGTGAGATGCTGCGAGCCCCGTCCACCTCTCCTCCCAGACCCTGAGCCTTCAGAGCCCGTCGGGAAGAGGATCCGTGTGGGCAGGCAGAGCATGGCTCCGGAAGCATCACGCTGGTTTTGGCAAGTGTGTCTGAAGACTGGTCTCCCACGCCCTGGGGACCAACTCCTTCCTGCTCTATCATCGCAGTGTGTGACCTCAGTTCCAGCTGACTGCAGTGGCCTCTCCTCTGGACAGGGCCACCTCGCAGGGTCAGGAGCACCAGAGAGGACAGCCTGGCTCCCAGAGCTCACACACTGCGTGGGTTATGACACCACCAGCAGAGAGACAGAGACCAAGGAGATGGCAAACGTGAGTCAGGTGCAGGGTTGAAACTAAGGCAAGAGCAACAGGGCAGGCCCAATGCATCAAGAAAGTTTTGCTTTCACTTTCTTAGTGTACTAGAGAGGGGGGAAGAGCAGGTAGGGGAACCAGTTTTAATCAGCTGGGGCGAAAGGAATGTAGAGTAGGTTACATTTTTAACTAGGGAGCAGATCCTTGCATCTGAAAGCTCCCTCTTGGCTCAGGACCTGGACAAGCCACTGAACAGAGGAACAAAGACCAGGAGTCCTATGAACACAGGTGACTTCTCCAGGGTGACTCGCTTTGCTGAAGGGATCCTGGGTTATCCTGCTCCTGGAGTGGTTTTCCGGATGTGGCGGTCACCCTTCCCATCTGGGACTCCCTAGGCCCCTCCTCTACTCCCACAGAATGAGGAACACTCCAAGCTTTCCAGGGGTCCCACTGCCAACTTCACACGTGGGTCCCAATAGAATCCCTTCTAGGTCAAAGAGCACTCGGATTTCCCTACCAGAACGGCCACCCAGTTTCTCCTGGACTACAGAAGCCAAAGGCCAAAAGCACAGCTGTCAAGCCAGAAAACGCAAAGAGGGCGAGTTTCAGTTCTCACTCAAGCAGCTGTGTGGGCCCACGAGCCTGAGATGGGGGTGCCTCTGACCTGGGGCCCTGTGGCAGCCCGGGGCGAGGACGTGGGCACAACCAGTTCGGGAGCTGTATGGGGCATCGTTTCTGCATTTTGGACGGAAGCCAGGACAAAGGCCAAAGTACACAGCATCTCGTCCTCTAGATTCGGGTCTTACAATGACGCTGGACCCCTTGGGGTTAGGCTCCTTCAGCTGTCCTCGTCTTGATGAACGCAAACCCACCTCAAGGGGCAGAGTCTCTTCAACTGGGGCTGAGTCCCTGTTGGTCCCCAGAGAGACCTTACAAAGTAACCAAACCCAGGGGTGAACTTAAAATAACTTTTCATTAGGGAACAAATTTTTTATCAGCAAAATGGAATTTAACTTTTTAATAGGATAATGAATTTTGTTTTAAGAGCCCCAAAAACGGGAGGAGGAAAGACCCATTTCTTACCTTTATCATACCTGCCACAAACACAGTAAAACTTTAATAAGACTCTTTACTCTAAAAGGAATCAGCTATAAAACTGTCTTCTATAGGAAAATGTCCTGAATGGAAAATGCTCCATCAGAGACAAAGATAGGAACGAGAGAAACGTCTATACATCCAGAAAAACTTGAAAAGCTCCTTAGTAAGACTGGGCTGTACTTCTATGGGACAGAGGAGAGAAAAGCGAACGCAATGACCAACTCACAGCAATAGGAGGAAGACAGCGGGTAAGTCCCAGCCCGCGCAGACCACAGGATCGGCCCATCCTGCTGCATTCCAGAATGAGAGCAATGCCAGAGGCAGGCAGCTTCTCCAGCCCAAGAGAGCAAAATTTGTAATGGAAAGAGTCCTGGGTGGCCTCCTGTGTGAACTGCCACAATAATTTACAAAGAGGCTGGTTTATAACCAGGATGCTACACATGCCAGAGACTAGGAAAGTGTGTGTGTGTGTGTGTGTGTGTGTGTGTGTGTGTGTGTGTGTGTGTAAAACAAAGAATGGACTACACAATTCTCTATCATCAGATCTAGCCAAAGCCAGACGTCACTGAGAGCTGGATGGAGGGAGGCGCTGACCACGTGGCCGAGGCACCCCGTGCTGGGCCCGTGTCCTCACGACTTGGCTCTCCAGGTTTCACTGTGACCTGATCACTGACAACTGTCTCCGGCTGACCTCAGAATGGTCCGACTGCAGCCGGCTGGATTACAATGACCAGGGGAACAGAGGGCAGTGGAAGGGAAGGGAGAGGCGGCAACAAGGGCTCATTCTCAAGGTTGGGTGATGGGGAGGCTAATTCTGCAAGAACAACTTAGAATCTAGTTTTCAACTGAAGTCCCCAAGCTAGTTAAATAGGAAGATTTTAATAACAGTCAGTCCCTATAGTCCCCTTGTCTAGAACAATTAAATTATACCCCTCAGACAGTACAAGACTTGTCAGTGGACTGTGGGGAAGCAGACGAGTTGACACCAGGGCTAGTGGTGTTCGTCTTGGGGAAGACAGCGGGCTTGGGTCGCGTGGCGGGGGGCTTGACCGGGGCAGCCATCTTGACGGACTTGACGGGCCGGAAGGCACAAGCCATGTCCCCTGCGGTGCTGGCGCTGCGCTGGAAGGCGGGCTCGGGGTCCTTGAGGAGCTGGGTGTGCAGGGGGCTGGAGGGCTCAGAGGTGGGGGCCAACCCCGGTGAGGTTTTGAGGGGCTCCAAGGTGTCCAGGACGACGTCGGGGGTGTGCTTGACAGTGCTCTGCCGCTCTAGCTCCCGCAGCTCGTTCAGGGCAGAGTTCATTGTCGCCTCGATATCCTAAAAATACAAGGACGAGGAGACGAGGTGAACACAGGCATAGTCCCCAAGGAGCTATTTCAACAAGATAGGCCAAGGTGTGAAGAAACCAACTACGACAGGGCCAGGTTATTTCACGGGCCAAAGTCCCTGAACATATGAATGCTCAGAAGGTGAGGAAAGAGGGACAGAGCAATTTTCAAGATTGTTTTTCCTAGTGATCGAGTTGATTTTTTTCTTTTTTTACCCTCCATCCCCTTTACTAGTGATTCAACCCTTGCTCTAAACTACATTTCCGGCCTTCTACATTTTTTGTAGTTTGAGAGGAGGTCTTGCTAAGCTGTCTAGGCTGGCCTTCAACTTGAGGTTCTCCTGGTTCAGCCTCCTCAGTAGCTGGGGTTACAGGCACGTGACACTACCTAAGGCTGGTTGAACTTATTTATTTATATATTTATTTATTTTGGTAGCAGGGATCCAACTCAGGACCATGCGTTTGTGAGGCAGGCGCGGTGCCACTGAGCTACATCCCCAGCTCACTGAACTTATTTTTAACCGAAGTCCTCGTGTTTTCGATAGACACTGAAATATCGATGGATGAAATGCACACAGTGCAATGGGCAGGACAAAGGTGGAGCTCAGAGCAGTCAGGTGCAGGGCTACTCTGAGGACAGGGAATATGCTATCTAGTTCTCTTTCTGCTCAAAGGCGTGCAACAGTTTTTTAAAAGGGGTAGAGATGAAGTATGATCTTTATTTTCTTGCAGGCCAAATGATAGAAATACCAGTTGTTCCTCAGCGTGGAACAGTTCAAGAGCCCACTGCTAGAACATTCCTCAGGATTCCAGTCCTCCTTCAGGGAAAGGTCCAACCTGAAGTGACTTCCGGCTACCCACCACCGGAAGAGGGGAACCACAGAATGGCCAAGAGGGGAAGCCAAAGCCCACATAGGTGAAACAATGCTATTAGGAAACAGCAGTCCTAGCCTGGGGAGTAAGGCAGAACCAAAGAACCCTTGCACCCAAGCCAGCTGTTTCCTGGGGACACCTCCCAGTTGCCCATGCTGTCCAAACAAACTTGTCAGCTGCCCCCAAACCACCAGAAGACTCCTTCTTGGGACTGAGCTCATACTGAAAGACTGCATGTTCTTAGCAAAGGCCCCATCATGGTTTCTTTGTCCTGCAGAGTGACTCATGCTTTCTTCGGACAGTAATTCCACTTTCACTCACACCTATGACATTCTTAAAATGTGCGCGTGTGCATGTATGTGCTTGTATGGGTGTGTGACCCTGGGGGGTTAAACCCAGGGCCTCATGTATGTTAGTCAGGTATTCATTCCACCAGTGAGCTACGTCCCCAGCCCTTTCAAACCTTTAAGATGCTCAGAAAGAACTCCATCTCCCCTCCCAGTGCAGCTCTGCAGTTGGATTCCGTCCACCTGTGTACCTTTTCACTCCTAGTAATGCCCAGCCAAGGAAGGACCAGGGAAGGTTCCTTCCCATGGTGCAAGGCCAACTACCATGAGGAGCTTTAACAGAGGCACAGGACAGAAGGCCAACAAGCAAGACATCTCGGGCCCACAGCTCCACACCAGGCTTGCAGGTCCACGCCGTGAGCAGAGCCCAGGGAAACCAACGGAGACCACACCCAGCCTCTGTGGCCCCTGGAAGATGGAGAGAAGAGAATCTCTACTGGGTTGAGATGTAAGAAGCCACAGTGAGCCTTTAGTTCCTACCTGGTCTATTGAAAATTATACAGTTGGGAGAGACGTCGGAGAGCACTGCTTGGAGTGGCCCCGGGAGTCGGACTTTTATTAGAGGTGGGGGTGGATCTCTAGTATTCAGGGAAAACAGAGAGGCATCAGTGTGGTACAGGCACAGAGGACATGCTCTAACTAGGAGCTCATCACTGCTGGAGCCTTGGGCTGCAAGTGCTTTTAGTTCTCAAGCTCCCCGCAGCTGGAGTATTCTGAGGTCTTCGAGACCAGTCATCTGCCCACTGCGTTATCGCCTTTAGGAAATGGAATGATGGGGGTGGACAGAGCCATCTACAATTCAGTTCCAATGTACTGGAGTTCCAATACTCAAAACAGCTTCACCAAATCTACCTGGGCTTTAAGACCCAAGACTTGGGCGGAATGGACTCTACCCAAATATCCTAACTACCAGCATTAAAAGTCAGCAGCTTTGCAAGTAGCTGAACACTTGCACCTTGGTTCAGGAACCTAATTCTGTCCATAATCTTGGTTGTAAACAGAGTTGAACAAGAACTGAATCCAATCTCCCCATGAGATCAACACTGAACCTAACCGTTGAGTTTCATTTGGTTCTTGCCCAATTCACTCACGACCAGAATGGTGGAAAGTTAAGTTTGCGAAACAAAGCTCCGCTGTCTCTGAGACTGAAGTGGGAGCCCCTCATTCTACCTCTGGGGTCACATGGGGGACGGGAGGTGGCTAGGCACGACGTCTTCGCAGGCTCGCATGTTCAGTCCCGGGCAGCATGGAGTGCATGAAGATCTGCGCTACCCAACCCTGTCACTCAGCAAGATCCACACTGAGTGGCGGTGCCATGTGTGACCCACGGCCAGCTGCCCGCCCAGGGCCCACAGTTACCTGTGCGATGACCTCAGGGTCCATGGGCCGGTGGTTATTGAAGCTTTTGGACCTGCCCGCTGTGGCAGTCTTCCTGATCTGCGGACTGTCCAGCCGGTTCTTCAGGGAGGAGTGGCGGCTGATGGAGTTGAGGCTCCCGTGGCCGCTGATGGAGCACTTGTCGGGCCCTTCCTTGGGGAGACTCTGGCTCAGGATGGGCTGGGAGGATGGGCGGCCGCCGGCCCCCACCCCCGCGGAGGAGTCGCTCAGGGAACTGCTCAGCCCGTGGCTGTCACTCCGAAAAGTTTTCCGGATACTTCCAGGTTCTGGACGCTTCCTCTGCCTTCAATCACAAACAGAAAGGGCAGGGTGATCAGGAAGCCCCAGCTCCAAGGAGGCCAGGATGGGGAGGGGCAGATGCAGCAGGAGAGGCACATGGATCACCTTCGATCCTCAGTGTCACCTACTCTTGCTCCCTCCCTGTGCCTCTTCTCTTGCCACCCTGGCTGGGGCAAAGGAGAAACGAGTACTTACTTGAGTGTCCTGGGCACTGAGCTCCCAACATAAGCTGCTGTCAGAAAAAGTGTCTGAATAAGGGAAAGTTCCTACCCCGGAGGGACTCATGGAAAGACCGTGTGCTCTGAGCAGAAACCAAAGGCCCCAGCAGGAAGAGTCACCGCCACCGCTGAGGGAGGGAGGTGCGTGTGGCAAGAGGAGCAGCAGCGTCCCGTTCAGCTTTCTGGTACAGTGACACCAGAGCCACTGTGGGCTCTGGCTTATTCTCCACAGAACAGATGTGCTTAGGTGGAGGGACAGCCACATGACTCCGGGGCCACCCAGGCTGGGCTGAGCCCTGGCTCTGAGGTGCGCGTTACTGCACACTACCTAAAGCTCTCCAATGCTGCGGCCCCTTTCTCTCAGAGCCACTCTAAAGGACAGGATTAAGAAGACTCGCAGCTGCTCGTTCTGAGGGCAGCAGCTCCCACTGAATCTAGGGGCATGAGGCCGCAGCGGGAGCGGAGAGGGAGTGAGGTGGGACTGGGATCTAGGGGCCGCCTGTGAGGCCAGTTCACTGCTGACGTACTCTGGGTCTTCACAGACCTGGCTCCTGGTCCAGGCCGTGGCCCAGAGCAGCTGCTCCATGGGCCTGTCCATCAGCAGTTCTAGACCCCGAGTCAGCCATCCTCCCGCACGGAGAGGGTGTCGTCTCTCAGGTCCTCCTGAGGCGAGCCCTCCTCCGCAGCGCTCCCCTGACACCGCTCACTGCGGCTGTGGACAGACAGAATGGAGCCCTCCCGGCCCCTGCTCCCTACTGCGCCCCTGGCACTGATTTTCAGCTTCCTCTCCCTGCAGTCTTTATGTTGCTAGGCTGGGAGCTCTGAGAGCCAGGACCGTGTTTTACTCGGCTCTGAAGAACCAGCACTGACACTCAGCACAAAGCAGATGCTCAGAGTGTGGAACATCGTCCAAAGGCCACACCCTGGTGACGCTGTGATTTCTTCTTGCGTTTGAGGTTGGCTGACTCACAAACCTGAACTGCTGAGAATACGCATCCATGGAGCAGCTGCAGTCAGTCACGTCCCAGGCCAGGCCTGGGGATGTGAACACGAGGAAGACAAAGGTCCCCACTCCTAGCAGCTCGGCCTGGTGGGGGATCTGGCACAGCGTGAGCCCCAGGGACTGCTCCAGCTGCCTGTGGACACTGGGTGGGGGGGTGCCCGACTCGGCCCAGCGAACTCAGGGATGTCAGAAAGGCCTCTCCAGAGCCATCAATCTTCAGACTGAGTCCTGAAGGGAGGAGAGGAACTGACCAGGTAAGGGAGGAGCTGGCAGGTGTGAAGGTCTGAGGGAGAGACGGGCTCAGAAGGAGCTTGGACCACAAGGAGCTTGCTTGGGAGGGGAGGGTAGAGGCTGGGCCAGGCAGACTGAGGGCCGCCGATCCCTCCCTGATGGGCTGGCATCTGGGTAGGCCGCCGGGAAAGAGGCCTGTCCTCCGAGGGCTTCACCAGGATTCTCCCGCCAGGAAAGAGGCCTGTCCTCCGAGGGCTTCACCAGGATTCTCCCACCATGCAAGGAGTTTAAGAGAGACGCTGACTTTCTCCCTGACGTTCACCTTTTGACAGCTCAGCTGTCAGTCACTGTAATTCTTCTGTACAAACAGCACTGAGTATGGGATAACTTAATAATACACACAGAGGACTGGGGATATAGCTCGTTGGTAGAGCACTTTCCTGGCATATGTGGGGCCTGGCCTCCATCCCCAGCACAAACAAAAAGCTAAACATCTAACTCTCTCTCCACCAACCCTGTCTTGATTTCCGGCTTAATAACTGGCTTACAAGCTGTGACTGTAGGCTTATAATTAACATAGACTTGTAAACAAGGAGGAAAAAAGTGATTAGCTCAGAGTTACTGTTTACTGGTTTGTCCCCCCAGCGGGGCAGTGCACTGCGGAGGGAAGTATAAAGTCCTCAATCTTTTCACTGGTCTGAATTAAACTACAGCGCTGCTGAGCGAGGGAGCTGAATAAACCACGTGATGAGCCTGAGGGTGAAAGAGATGCAAACGAACCACGTGTCCCAACCACGCCCCCTGCTACCGTTTGGTTGGAAAGAAGCCAAGAGATCTGGCAACTTGGTGTGGTTTGAAAACAACAAGCATCTTTTATTCTCCTTCCAGTCTCAGTGTCCAGAGGCTACGGTTAACAGGGTTTCAAAGTGCAAATCATTTCATTCCTCCAGAGCCAGAGGGAATAAAAACTGTACGTCATCTCCAATCCGAATTCGTCGGGAGCGCCCTGGGGCTTGTCATCCTGCTGGCCTTGGGCCAGTCTCAGGGTCTGGCGGAAAGAGGTCTGTAGGCTTTGGGACTTGGTGTCTGGCCCCTTGAGATGAGATTAGTTCTCCAATAACCTGAGTGCCCCTCGGGGAGGCAGCAGCACTGGGCGGCGCGGGATCCCTCCGGACAGCCGGCTCAGGTGTGGGTGGAGTTTAACCCTGGATGTTGCTAACGGCCACAGTGAAAGCTGGGGGAGAGCAGGGGCCTGCCAGACAGAGGCGACACTGGGCAGGGGCTGCTCGGGAGCGTAACACACAGGGCTGAAGCAACAGCGAAAAGACGAAAATGGTTCCCCACTGGAGGTCACACGCGGGACGCAGAGCTCAGGACAAAGCTCGCCCGGGACACAGTGCTGCCCTCTTCTCCACAGCAGGGGAGGCACAAGGGCAGAGACAGACACACACATCTAAGAAGCCCACCTGGCAGGAACACAGGCTCGGAACCCTTGACCAGACAAGGGTGGGGGAGACAGCCAGTGGTACTGTCTGAGCAGGAATTGGAACAGAGAAGGCACCTCTAGGAAACAGTACGAGACCAGCTTGCATAGAGTGACCCATGTTTTGGCCAACGCACAGCCACAGCAGGACACCCTGGCCGGGGCCCTGGGCCTCCCGGATGCTGAGCCGAGCAGCGGCCCTGGGGGGCGCGCAGACGGCCAGGCCCAGGAGCAGCGCAGGCTGGGGTTAGGCCAGGGAGGCAGGTGGTAGGAGTCGAGTTGTTCAGGGGAGCAGAGAATGAAAAGCAGCGCTTACTTGTTGATGTTTGCAAGATAAATATCAGCTACGTGACCCCCACCGGGACAGCTGGCCCCTGCTCTGGGTGTCACCTTTTCTTCAGGTGGCTCAGAAAGGACCTCAATCTCAGACTTGGGGCTGGACCTCTCCACGACACCGTCCTCGCTAGGGGAGAAGGGGTGGGCAGGCAGGTGGAGAGGGAGAACACAAAAAGCAGCGTTAAAACGGCAAGATGCCCCCCCCCACACGCGCGGCCCGCAGAGCTCTGAGGCGAGGCTGCAGGCGACACCCAGCAGGGCTGGCTCTGCAGCACAGACAAGGGGCCCAGGGGCCTGTGGAAGACCCATAAATAAAAATAAATATCCACTGAGTTCTGCAGGATCCTCAGCTCCTGGGGACAGCTTGGCTAGGGGACTCTGGGTTGGAGGCATCTGCCCTCTGCCTCACACTGGGCCACCCCCTAGAGGAGGAGGCAGAAGGAGGCCCAGCTGTGGCCCCGAGCACTGTGGGTAAGGACAGTCAGATCTGCGTGGCTCTGGAGATGCCGCATGGCCACACTCCATCGTAGCGTCTTTAGCCTCACTTAGGGCCTCCAAGCCGGTCCCAGGTCTCGCCCCTGCTCTCCTAGCCCTAGGACTAGTGACGGCAAAGAAAGCACCTCTCCCCTATTGTTCGACAGTGAAGTCTTGATGCTAAGCTTGGGAGGGTCCTGTCCATGCACAGACTGCCACAGGAGGTGTAACACGGAGCGGGCTTCCCGCAGAGCTGCAGCTGGGGAGAGGCTGGGAGGGTGAAGACTCAACTCAGGATAGCAACCTTCAAAACAGTATTAAGGGCAGGACTAAAAACAGTGCAGTGCTGTATCCAAGGTAAGTGAGCAGGGGCAAAGGACGGACGGCGTGGCCGGCCGCAGGGGACACTGCCCGCCAGCAGACAGTACTTCAAAGGTGGGGACCGACTGACAGCTCACACAGTGAGGTCTCGGGGCCCAGTCCAGGCTCTCTTTGTCCCCAGACATTCCTCCTTCCTTTCCCATATCACCCCAGATCAGCCTATCTGGGTTAAATGAACTTGGGTCACTTCCACAGCGTGCCTGAGCCAAACTTCTTCCACGAAGTGACTCTTTGAGTCTGTGTGGAGGTGGAAAGAGCCATACATCCAGCTAGGTAGGGGTGTACATGGCCGTTTAAAAAAAAAAAAAAAAAGATGTCTCCCCTACCTGATCTTTCGAAAGAGAATGTACGAGGGGAGGAAATGCCACATCACATCACTGCTGCTCCTCAGGTGTACATGCTGGTGGGCACTACCTGGCAGGTGTCTAAGGCAAATGGCTGGCTGGGCGTGGTGGTGACGCCGATAATCTCAGCACTGGGGAGCTGAGGCAGGAGGATGCTCAAGTTCAAGGCCAGCCTGGGCTCCATAATGAGCTCCATAGTGAGCTCAAGGCCAGTCTGAACTATATAACGATGTCCAAAACATGGGCTGGGGATATAGCTCTGTGGGTCTGCTGCCTACCTCGCAGACACAAGGTCCTGAGTACAATCCCCAGTACAACAACAAAAAACAACCCCAAAAAACAAAAACAAGTGGATGGCAGAGATTCAAAGGGGAATCAGAGTGGAAAAATTAAAAAATTCTCCACTGAGTTGAAGGTTCCTTTTGAAGAACTGTGAAACTCAGATCTCTTTGGTCCCCTCATCTTCCTGCAGCTGCCAATGAATCGCACTCCCACAGTGCTGCCAGGGCCCTACGTACGTGTCTTGGACCACGATGTACTGATGGGGGATGAGCCCGTCCACACCGTTGTGCCGACCTTCCCACCAGTCGTCCGAAGCCCGCTGGTAAAGCAGCAGCGACGCCCCCTTCTTGAAGGACAGCTCTCGGGCTGTCCGGCCCACGTAGTCAAACTTGGCGATGGCCTCGATGGGCTCGCACTCTGACAAGGGCAGAGAAGGACGAAACACACTGTCAGGACCACAGACGCAGGAGACCGGGTGGAAAGCCCATCAGCTGGACTTGGTGAGGAGGACAAGCTTGCATGAAAAGCAAGCAGGGAGGATGGCAACTCCTTGCAGCCTGGCCGTACCCTGAAGAAGCTGCTCCCCGCAGCCTTTGCTCCACAGTTCCCTCACCTTGAGTCCCTTTTTTCGGCCTCGTGAGAGGCATTAAGACCCTGCTGTCCCTGGAAACTCCTGTTTCCACACAGCTCATTGTGCTGATCTCGCCATCATCAAACTTGCTAGCCTCTATTCTAAGCATTAATTCTTTTCTGATTATCTAGAAACTCCATAAATAGCAAAAATTCATCATACTGTATTTCAAGTAATTCGTTATCCATCCTCTACAGTATAACACAAGTTCTCAGTCTCAGTATCTAAAAGAAAATACCTGGCTTGGTCAACTGTGGAAAAATGCACATGAAAATAATCCGAAAAACTAAGAGGTGCTTACATATGCAGTGCACTTTTATGCCAGCTTCTGTCTCGTCCCCAAAATGGAGTAACAAAGTGTCCTTTTTGTGAATTGTTAGGAGGAGCCAATGAGCTCCAATCTGTGAAGGTGCGAGAGCAGCGCTGTGAGATGCACGTGTCGCGCACTATTACCATTCTTTATCTGTCCTAGGCTGTCCTAGGCTGCAGGCAGAGATGAGATGGTGAAGAGAAGGCTCCCAGAAACCCAGACACTCAAGTCAGATCTGCTGGGAAGGAGAGAAGAAAACTGCAGAAAAACAAGCCCAATGCCAGGAGTGGTGGTGCACACCTGTGACCCCAGCACTCCCTCAGGAGGATCACAAGTTCGAGCCCAGCCTTAGCCAGACCCTGTCTCAAAATTAAAAAATAAAAAGGGCTGCGGATGTGACTCAATGTGAAGACTCTGGACTCAATTCCTCATACTGCAAAAAAGCAAAAAACAAACAAACAAACAAAAAACAACAACCCAAAAAGCAAACTAAAAGGCCATGCCCAGGCAGGCCCGGCTGGTAAGTCTCCTTCTGAACAGGCGGGGGAGATTTCACCCCAGGAGGCCGGCCAGACAAGGTCTCCTAGTCTAGGAACCCAAGAGAAGCTGAGCCTCCCAGAATGTTGTTCATAGCCTCATCGGCCACTTGACCCCCGTTTTCTCAACTGTAAGACAGCGCCCTACTCGAGACCAGGGGATAAAAAATACCCAAAGCCTCTGACAGCGCGGTCTGACTGACACCAAGTTCCCCACTCCCTGACATCACCCTGATCCTGCCCCACCACGATCTACGGAAGCAGTCCTCACATTTTTCTCCTTTAAAAGCTGGTGCAGGACAGCAGAGTTCCTTTGAAGCAAGAGAGGGAGCAGCAAAGCCCTGAAAACTGTGCCGTTTTATTCTTCTGCCCAGAAAATCCTGAAGCCCCTTGTCAGCTGCTGAGCCTTCCCAAGCCCAAGCGATCCAGAAACAGAGGTGAGGAGCTGCTGGAAGCCGGCAGCGAGAGCAGGGGAAATGTGTGGTTGGACAGACCCTAACGGAACCACAGGTGCTGCGGAGGCCCCGGACGGCAGCGGTGTCCGGCCCTGCCGCACTCACCAGGCTGCTCAGCACCCGCGCCTGAACTAGTGGCTCCTGCAAGCTCCTCCCACTCCCCTGGCTTGTTTCTGCTGGTTCCCGGCACAGCTTCTCTATTCCCTGGCCTTGCTGGTTTCCAAAGCTCCTCTCCTTTAGGTCCCCGTTCACCCGGTAGGAGTCTGGGCTGTGGTAAGGGACCAGCATCCTGCAGGACCCCAGCTACACTTGAAGGTCTAGCTCTTTACCTCTGGTTTAATACAACACCTATTCTATTGGCGGTGTCCCTCCGAGGAAGGAGACGGGAAAGGCAGGGGACGGTCCTCAGGGGACGGCCAGGCAGGAGCTCGCCGGGGGGAAAAGGACATGCAGCCTGACCAAGCATAGGCAGCCCCAGCGAGCAGGAAGTAAGCTTTGTACCATCATCGCTCGTGTGGTGCTCTGCGGCCACATCCTGCGTGGAGTCTTCAGCCGAGGTAGTCTCTCCGTGAGGGCTGTCACTGCGACAGAAGCAAGAGTGACTGGGACATCAGTGACTGCCTGCAAAAATGTCCTCTTCCCCTTTAGATGCCTCCCACAAGTGAGAGCATCAAATCAACCCTGAGCTCACTAGCCTGGCACGTGCACAAAGGTACTCAGAAACCTACAGCTGCACAGCTCTCCACTCCAGCTCCTGCCAGACACCTGCGGGAGATTATCTGGGACTTAGACTACCTCCAAAGGGAAGCCCATTAGAAGTCATCAAATGCATTCTTTAGAAAACACAGGACAGGTCAACTTCTCCAGGGCCGACTCTCTGGGTAAACTTGTTCCTGGTTCCCAGAGGGAGGAAGCGACCAACCGTTGTCGGATTGGCACCATTAAGCAACCCCAGAGAAATGCACTGTAATCTCTTCCCTGCCACCCAAGTACCAACCATACATGGCAGACGGCGATCTCTCCACCTCCTAGAGTTGGTGGGAGTTACTGGTACTGGCAAAGCATCTGGGGTGCATAGTAAGTGGTACTTCTTTCCTTCTTTTTTTTTTTAACTTAAATTTTTGCAGCACTCAGATTGAACTCAGGGCCGTGGGCATGGCAGGCAGGTGAGCACCCTCTTAGCTGCATCCCACCCACCCCCCTCGCTGTGTTCAGTGCCCTGTGTTGCTTGGTGCCTTAGCCTGTGTATGGTGAGAAAGTGGGAGGTGAGTCACAGAAGGGGCGGGAAAAGGAATCTACTGCACATTAGAACTTGCAAGAGGGCAAGGATGGAAGCCCGGTCAAGTTCTTTAAAAAGTTCATCTCACCGGGCATGGTGGGGCATGCCTGTAATCCCAGCACTAGGGAGGCAGAGGCAGGAGGATCGCCAAGGGGCCAGCCTGGGCTAAGCCACACACACACACACACACACACACACACACTCACTCACACACACACACACACAGACACACACACACACACAGGCTGGGGCAAGGTCCTGAGCTTGATCCCGGGTACCGAGAAAAAAAACCCATCTTGCTGGGGAGGTAGCTCAGTGGTACAGGGGGAAGAGAAAGAAAAAGAGGAAGAAGGAAGAGGATGAAGAGGAAGAAAAAGGGAAGAAGAGGAAAAAGAGAAGGGAGACGAGGAGGAGGAGAAAGAGGAGAAGAAAATGAAGAGGAGGCAGAAGAGGAAGAAATAACCAAAACAAAATTCATCTTTTAAAACAATCATCCAGGACAGGGCCAGGGATGTAGCTCAGTGGCACAGTACCTGCCTGGCAAGCACAAGGTTCTGAGTTCAATGCCAGGTAGAAAAAAGAAAAAAGAAATCATCCAGAGTAGTGAAAATGGCCAGGGACCAGAGTAGACGACAGCTCACTTCTTGAAAAGCAGAGGACATCCCTGTTCCACCTCCAGCAGAGGCAGTGACAGGCCAGCCTTCCAGATGGTGCCCACCAGCCTGCCCCTGCTCTAGCCCTGCAGCCTCTCCCTCCCCTCACACTGGTCCTGAAAAGTCTAGGTGACCAAGGTCCAAGGGGGTTGCTCTGACTCCACAGGACACTGTAGGAGAGCTCTAGCAGGGATTCCCCTCTGTCAGAGTGTGTGAGCATAATGCCTCATGTTTTCTAAAACATGCTAAGCCTGGTGACATTCTGGAAATTCACGGGGCTCTCAGGGTGCTCAAGGCAAAAGGCAAACCTTTTCCTGTGACTGTCTACGAAGGCGACAGCTCTCAGACTGCAGTGATCCCTGGAGGGCTGTAAACCCACGGCCCCACCCCGGGGTTCCGGCTGGACTGGGGAACTTGCGCTTCACATGACCTGGGTGCAGTTGATCATGCATGGTTAAAACCTCTGCACCACAGCAGGATGCTTTTTAAGGTCCCTTCTGGCCTGGAAACCCCATGCTTCTCTCATCCACACCCTCAACTCCCCAGTGCCCACCCTGGCCCACAGCGCCTGAGGACCATATGCCCACAGGCTGTCCTCCAACAGCGAGCTCCTGTCTCAGGGCTGGGAAGAGCAGGGAAATGGTTGACTACAGCTGGAGGGGACAAGCGGAGGCGGGACCCTGTCTTCCGGCCATCCTCCACAGCCTGGGGCTCCCTCCTTCAAGTTTCAGCTCACTTCTGAGTGGATCTCAATCCAGGTCACTGAATGCTTCACTGGCCCGAGGCCCAGGGCCTCCCCACTAGACCCAGACTGTGGTAGTGACTTCCTCTGACTGACCCCGGGGTGTAATCAGTGTCAGATGCACAGCAAACAGGGGCCTGAGGAGAAGAATGGATGAAGGTGCCCCTCAGGGCTGGGGAGAAAGGGCCCTATGCCCTGGGCAGTCCTGAGCCTGTGGTTTGCCATCCGAGCACCAGGGCAGGCATTCCTCCTGACTGGAGTAGGAACTGGCAACACGATTCCACACTCGTCACTCCTCCTGACAGCAGGAAAACCAGTTTCATGTCTCGTGCACAGGGCCTGCTCCCCAGAGCCCAGCAGCCAGTGGGCCGAGACTGGGGCTGACCAACCTCCCTGGTCACCACCGGCCATGCGTCAGGGCCAGAACTTTCTCTCCTAGCTAGCCAGCTGAGGTTTTCCAGGTCTGGTCTAGACCTGGACTCTGCAGTGCGGCAGAGGAGTGAACTCAGAATGCCACTACTACCGGGATGCTCACAGGTATGAAAGTCACTTTCCTTCACCCCTGGCAGGAGTCTGCTTGGAGGTCTGGGGGAAGCAGCCCCTCTGGCCGCCTCTACCTCAGTGGATAGCAATGGGGCTGGCTGAGGCTTTTAGCTCAGGCTGAAACACCACTCAGGGAAGAAAGGAGGGGTGGAGGGAGGTGAGGGACATCATAGACTTTAGGAACCTCAGCTGTCGTGTGTTTGGTGGGAAGATGACACTGTGAGTTGTATCACGGCAGGCTGCACGGTAACGGATGGTGCCACCCACTACAGGAGATGGGGTCAAGTCCCCATTGCCAAGATGGCCTCTAGGGGGTGCAGAGGCTTCCTCTGTAGCGTGGCAGTGGGGTTCCACTTGCTGGGAAATGACCGTTTTATCTCTCCAGTGCAGGGGTCCAGCACAGCTGTTCCCTAGGGACTCCTTTTGGCTCTCTGTTCTCAAGATCAGTCATGAAATCCTTGGCCCAAGGACTATGACCCTGCCTCAGGGTGCGATGGTGCTGAACCAGCCCAAAATGGAGCTGAGTCCACTTCCTCCTCATAGTCTTACACTGTCCCAATGTGTCCTCCCAGAAACTCAGTCAGGAAATAATGCCTCATTGTCTTAACTTCCCAGGAAGAATGGGGCTCCCCGGGACCCCAGCCTGCCTTTCTCCCAGTGCACAGCACAGCGCAGAGGCCGTGGGGATGCTGTCCTCCTCCCTCCCTCCCTTTAGAGTTCCCTCGGCTGGATGCCCCCCAGGCCAGTGTGCCCGCTGACCCCACCCCCGCAGCCCGAGCCCCTACCAGTAATCCTCCATGCTTCCTCCCCTGCTGTAGACGGGGCCCTCCAGCTCCCTGGGGTTGGGGAAGATGTTCTCGTGCTGGAGGATGATGGTTTTGATCAGCTCGTTCACGTGGGCTTGGCAGGACACCTGGTCATGGCCCTCCGGCACTGACATCAGCGAGGGCCCGAAGCAGATGGCGAGGTTGTAGGGGTCCATCATGTTCTCTTCACTGAACTGTGATAAACTGGAGGAGAAGGTAAAGGGGCAAGCTGGAAAGCTGTCGCATGAATGCCCAGAAAACACAATCACAGGAGGCACTGGCAAGGGCCAAGGCAGAAGGTCCACAAACTGCCACCTGCCTTTCTGGCCATCAGAAAGTCACCTGGGGACACAAGAGTGACCACCGGATGGTCACTGGAGAGCCAGGGAAAGGTAAAGTGGAGGTACCTGCTTATTGGTCTGGCCTTCCCCCTCTGCAGTTCCCCATTCAAATCTGCCTGCCCACCTCTTCTTCCTTGTGCCCAATCTGGACCTTATCCACCAAAGTCACCTTCCCTTGGGAACATGTCACTCTTCCGAGCTCAGCATGACTCCCACAGCCCAACCTGCCAAGCCACCAGAGCAGACAGGGTGCCTCGGTGTGGCCTGGTCGTGGGCCCTGTGCGTGTGTACCTTCTTGCAGAGCAAAATCATCAAATTATTAGGGATATCCCATTCCTACCTCTAGAATTAATTTAAAAACAGACAACACCCTCCTTCTGTCTCTTACACAGAAGCTTGTTTTCTCTCAATGAATTTTTCCTACTCTTAAAAAAACAGAACAGCCAACTGATTAGCTTTTGTATTCCACCAAGGCAGTGAATTTTTCAAACGGTTAATGCAACTGTTTTTCACTTTCACAATATCCTCTCCTGTTAATACATTCAGGATTTATTTAGGAAAAGGTCAGTGTGCTGCTCAGACTCTGCTCTCATTTCCCTGGATGCAGGCTGACTTTATCCTTGAGTGTGTATATTTTCTGGGAATTCCCCCTGCTCAGCCAGCAGCTGCTCGCCACACTGCCGACCCTGGCCAAACCAAAGACCCAGGCCTCCAGTGGTCCACGGTGGCCGGTCCTTGCCTGTCTGGCCCCAGAGGGCGAGGCCAGCTCCGGACAAATCCCCCCACCCCGCCGCAGGCCGCAGAACCGTGAGCTCTGCAGGGGTGTGGCCTGCCATGGACACCGGAGGCACTGTCCAGCCCTGGCTCTGACAGATCCAGAGCCCTGTGACGCTGATGGCTCCAGCCCTCTGAAGCTGCTCTTCTCAACTGGGCAGTTTTATTCCTAAGTAACTAAAACTCACATCCAGACTCCTGCTACAAAACTGGGTTCCCTCTAACCCAACAGTCCTCTCCTCTCCTGGGGGTTCTGAGATGCACCTCAGGCCCCCTTGAGAGTCACTGCAGGACACGAAAAGTGGCGCGATGGCCATGAACAATAGTCACAGAGAGGAGAAGCCGAGAATGGCCGTTCTCTAGGTCCTAGAATCAAATACAGGAGCAACGGGGAGGCTGGACTGCTTCACAGGGCTTCTCAAAGATTTAATTTTGTAACTTTCTCTATCCTAAAATGAAAGGAAGCAGAGATTTAGAAAAGACTGGGGAAGCTTCTAAGTCTTCCTGGGCACACTGGATAAAAAGGAGTGGTAATGACCCTGGTAATCTCAGCAGGAGCAACTGAGAGATAAGACATCCAGGGCTGATGTGGAGGATCCCAGGCTGGCCAGGAGAGCCATGGAGACAGGAGGCTTCAGTGAGGCCTGATTCCTTAGGAGTGATCTGACAGTGCTTTGGTGACAGGAAGGAAAACCAGTAGTTTCTGGGAAGCCTGGTGCAAAAGCCCTCAGTGTGCCAAGTGAAAATGCCATGGCAGCAGAGGAATGACGTGAAGCTTACCGCTGAAAGGACCGGTTCATTTATAGGTGGTGACAGTGGCCGAGACCTGAGGTCTTAGCTTCCAGGGCTGTGGTCTCATGAATTGGGTCCATTTTCTAGCTCCCATTAAAAAGTAGGCCAAATGTGCTGGGTTCGATTTCTAGTACTCCAAGGAAGAATAAAAAGACCATGATCTTTTTCTCTATTCCAATTCACAGGGGAACATCTCAGTTTAGGGGCTAACCAGTGGCTCCTAACTACTGTATCTGAGGGGCCCAGAGGTTTTCAAGAATTTGGCAATAGAATCAAGCACAGTGGCTCATGCCTGTAGTTCCAGCTACTTGGGAGGCTGAGGCAGGAGGACTGCTTGTTTGTAGGAGCTTGGGGCTGGCTGAAAAACAGAGTGAGTCTCTGTCTCAAACCAGCAGGCAAACAAAACAGAATTTGTTCAGAACTAGGTAATTCATACATGTGCACATACAGATGTGTACAATTTTATGTAAATGTCATGACATTAAAGCCTGTAGAAGATCTCAGGCCCTGGGTAATAATGCCGAGTGAAGTCAGTCTTAGGCCTGGGGAGGGACAGGGAGAGTTGGGGCCACGGAAGTGCCTGTCCCACCTTGGGGCAGCCCTAAGTCCTCGGGGAGTCACTCCTACTCTAGAACACAGGTCCAGCACTGCCAGATCTAATGGCTTTTCCGAAGAAGCCGGCAGAAGCCCCAGGTAGCCATCTGCTGCTCCAATGCTCGCGGACACAACACACCTAAAGGCAGCACACCGGATGCCTTGTCTGGCTCTGCTCATGCCCAGGAAGTCAGGTGCCCCGTGTCCCTGCTTGACGCCTTCACTGCCACATGGGAACCCTTGTGCTGGCCCCTGGCTAGGACATGCTGCTTGCACAAGAAAAACTGCTTTACCAAGCCCAAGGCCCTTCTGTCTTCAGAGCTTTCTTCTCCCACTCAGACCCTGGGGCCGCTAAACACACCCAGGACACAGTGACGCTCACATACACTCGTGCCCACTCGCACTGACACCCAGGCCTCTCCCAGTGTCGGGCCATGTTTGGCTGCTGAAGATGTCACTGGGGCACCAAAGGGGTGCTTCAGGTGGCACTGTCCACGTGGGTACCTTGTCTCAATTCCTCTCCTTATGCCTATCTTCTCTAGCGCCACGAAAAATATCACAATTTCCCTGTTCCTCATGCCGAAGAGTAGGACTTCTCTCTTCCCTCACACTCCACACATCCAGTCCAAGAGCAAGTCCCATTAGTGCTGTGTTTAAAATCCACCCAAGACCGGCCCTTCTGTCTTCCCACCCCTCGGTCAGCCGCACACAACTCAGACTAGGCCCCCCTCTCTCCACGACCCCATACCACGTGGCTGGCAGGTTTTAAAACTAATATTACACATAAAGCAGACTATTACACTCTTCCCTTAGAAATCTCCCAACCATTTCCCCTATGCAAATCCACTCCTCTCAATGACTAAAGTCCCGAATGTCCCTGTGGCTCCCTTTTCAGTGTTTAGGCTGCTGTCCACACCCTGTCTTCCCAGAGAGGCCTTTGCTGATCACCCCTCAAAAGTGCTTTCCTTCTTTCAACCTCCTGCCAAAGCCCCGCACTTACCTGTGGGTTCTTTTTGGAGACAGGGACCCACAGCGTAGCCCAGGCTGGCCTAAAACTCCCAATGCTCCTGCCTCAACTTCCCAAGTGCTGTGACTGCGGGCATGGGCCACAGTGCCCAGTCTTTATCCCCTTCTTTAATCCTTTCTTCTTCTAAGCACCTGTCCCATCTGGTATGCCTACTATTGTCTGTCCCCTTCCCCGGACACGAGCTGAAAGAACGGCCGTGTTCTTACAGCCCAGCACTGCGGCCAGCACGTAGTCAGCGCTCGGCACACGTGTACGGGCGCGAGTGAACAGAGCCATCCGGAACTTCAGGAGCCGCGCAGCCGAAGTCAGGGCCTGACCCACGCGCTCACCGGGGTGGCTACTTACTGACTGAGGAAGGCAAAGAGGTATCTCATGATAATCAGAGTGGCTTTGGGTAGGGCCAGGAGGACTTTCCGGATGTGCAGAGCTCGCTCCTGCAGATTGTCCACTGCTGAAAGAAGAAAGCAGTGTTACCCTGCACTGTGCCTGACACACCAGAAGAATGGCCAGAAGTGCCTGTCACCAGCAGGCGCAGCACAGAGAGCACCAGATCTGGCACACACAGCATGGGAGCCTGGTGGACTGGACTGTGATCCTAGCTGCTTCTGAGCGTGGGCTGGCGCCAGAGACCACGTCACTGTTGTGCTCCTGCAACACGGAAGTGTCGGGGGCCCCGACCCCCAGCATCCACCACACTCTTCTTAAAACTACCACAGACAAGGAGCTAACCACCATCCTGCCAGATGTCCAACACCCAGCCTGCCCACTGTCCATGCCCACCCCTCCTCCGACGAGCCTGGCTTGTCTCGCCCTCTCATCTGCAGTAGGAGTAGGATGTGGCCAGAGGCAGGGACAGCAGCGAAGCTACAGGCAAGGCCCTGTGCCTGTGGCTGCTGCCGTGCACAGCTGGGCAGTGTGTCACATGGACACCGTCATTTTGTACAAAGGACATTTGTATGACTGTTATTTTCTGTCAGTGCCTTTATGAGAAAAAGAAATGGGAAGTACTGGGTTAGTAACAAGGGATATGCCAGGGATCTCGGACTCTCTGCAACCGCAGCCCAGCTTAAGGGACAGTGCCGGGTCCAGTCCTGCAATAGGCAGGAGGAAAATAGGAGCTAAGGGCGCACATACGTATTCACGCACATAACTCGCTTCCATCAGAGACTCCCACAAGTAAGGGTCAGTGGAGAAAACCAGAGCCAATTTCTTTCAGGCTCGTGATGGCGAATCCTTCAATGATACAAACAGCCCAGGGCAGCACACGTGCCATGTTCACCCCCACTGCTCTAGGCTGTTAGAGCAGCTGAGAGGACAAATACTGAGCCAGACAGGAAAGCCAGGGAGCACGCGAACCCTGGTCAACTCTGTCCATCCTGAAGGCCTCATCCCCTCCTGCCTTTGGGGCTATCCTCCAGATCACATCTGCTTTCAGGAAGACCTGATTGTAGTCTACGTTTCCACAGACAATGCTCCATGGGACAAATGAGCGGACGTTTCAGCATCATGAGCTGAACTAAATGGTGAAGAATAGCTTTACAAGTCCTAAATTTTAGAGTAAACAGCAGAGAACTCCTAAGAAAATAGAAAATATATATTACTCTCTGAGAAAATATCCCATGACTACTTTAAATGTGTAGTGTGCTAAACACATCTAGCAGGTAAGAAACGTCTGTACAACCTAGGCTTTGACTCTGATACCGTGAAAAGCCCAAACCTTAATGTATAAGCATCAAAGAATTGAAAAGACTAAGTCTTCTGGATGAGTGCAAAGGCGTTTTACTAAAGAAGATAAAGCCTCCTTCAGAGGAACAGAATTTGTGACTGAAGAAAACCAAAAGAAGACCCTGACTCTGACTTGGGATCCTAGGTTCTCACTGAAGTCGCTCCCCCGCACCCCTATACCACCAGGGAGGACAGTGAAGATCAGAATGAAAAAAATCACTAGAGAAATGTAAAAAAAGGAGAACTTTAGCACAAAGCACCTAAGGAAACAAAGAGCTCCAAGGAAATGTTCAGAGCTCTTGCTACCAGCGCTGTGGCCAGGAGCCAGTCTGGGTCATGACAGTACTCACCGACACAGGACATCAGGTCATGGAAGATGTCCTTGGGGAACAGCGGGTGTTCCAGACCCCGGAAGTAGAGCTTGAGGACGCCTGCTATGGAGTCCATGTCGTGGTCATTCTGGTCCCCAGCCAGCGGGTCCTCTCCTGAGGATAAGCAATGCCCCCAAAGGAAAGCAAGTAAGAGGGGTGCAAACACACAGGAAAAGCACAAGTGGTGGGGTGGCAGTGACCCACATGTCCTCGACCGGTCCATCATCTCTGCCAGCACAGCACGGTAGCCGCAACCAGGACAGACGGGAACAGATAAAGCAAGCAGTCTTCGCAGGCTCAGGGGCGAGCCCTCGGGCCCAGGACACAGCAACTGCCTCTCTCACGGGAATCTCGAAAGGAGGCTGGGCCGAGTCCCTGGGGGAGGAAAACAAGGCCAAGGAGGCCAGTTCCTCTGACTTGCTCTCGCTCCTCCTGGCCCCCAGCAAAGGACACCTACTTAGAGGAGCTCCCTATGGAAAATTTCATATCAGATGTAATTAGATTTAATGACAGGACCAACCTCAAATTGAAACTATATATATCCATTACAGTGACGGAAATTGCCAAAGCTTACCCATTACCTTAATAGCCCACAAGATAATAAATGGGCTGCAATGAACAGGCGCATTAGCCTGGATATTAACTGCCACCAAGGGTTCCGGATGAAGCCATAAACCGCCTGGATATCATAGTTAACTTCTGGGTTTTGGCAGATCATCCGCAGGAAAGTCAGGAAGGGTAGGGCCGAGGAGGAAGGAAGCTGGGATGTGGCCAGCGTCTCCCTGCATGGCTAACGGGCTGTGTGTGGGAGCAGGTGCCTGGCTGAAGAAGAGCAAGCAGGCTTCCTGGGCTCTCAGGACCTCTCTGGAGAAGAGTGGAGCCAGTATTTCAGGAGGCTGGCAGACGTTCAGTCTTATTTTCCCGGCTGTTCTCTCACCTCTCTCAAAGGCATTTTTGATGTCATTCACTTCCACCTGGGATCCAGACACCCGGAAAATTCCTTCATGCTGTAGTCCTGGAGCCACACGGAAAAAAGAGATCTCAGAGAAGAAAAGGCAAGCTCACAACCACCGTACAGGCTCAGCTGAAGGCCTGTCCCCTCCAGCAGTGGGTACAGAAGTATCCTGTGTCTCTTTTACTTCAGGCCAATGAGGAAAACAAGCACAGGGATGTTGAGAGAGTCACTGGGAAGATTACAAAGCATCATCTGGAAGAAAGAACCAAGTCAGACACTTAGCCCAGCTTCTCTCCTGACTCTGAGGGAGACCGAGGCAGGTGTCTCCTCACCTTTGCCTGATTTCGTCTGACTTGCACTGAGGGATCTGCTGGTGCTTTCTTATTACCCAGGGTCTAGAGCGGGAGCTGGGTCATGGCAACTGAGACATTAGGTGCCCCTGGAGGGATTTCGTAAGGTTGGAGGTGATGGTGATCGCATTAGCTCATTTAACACTGTTCTACTATTCGGGGGACAATGGTCTCAGTAGCGATGAAAACGAGGACGTGAAAATACAAGTGATTAGTCACAGACACCATGGTCAGCTACTGTCCTAGACACTGGTCCCTCCCCGCTGCTTACTTTAAGGATAAACATGCGTGAATGTTGTACTATAAAAATGTGCACTGAGCCGGGCGTGGTGGCGCACTCCTGTAATCCCAGCACTCGGGAGGCTGAGGCAGGAGGATCGCTCTGAGTTCAACCCCAGCCTGAGCTACATAGTGAGTTCCAGGTCAGTCTCAACTACATAGTGAGACCCTGTCTCAAAAAACCAACAAAAAAAAACATGTGCACAAAAAAACTTTTGTTTTCTTAAGTTCTGTTAAGAGTACAAATAATCATGAAGAACAATGCCTGTACGGCAGTGACTGCTGCTGGCACAGGCTCGCAGGTAAAGAAAGCACAGGTCCTTACAGAGAGTGATAAAAGAACACCGGGTCAGGGTGAGCAGCAGCCTGATTTCTGGCCAAGGGTACTGATGAGTGACAAGCAGCCTTCAGCTACACAAGTAGTTAAGGATCTGGGCCGGGACTCAAACCCAGGCCGTGTGACTACAACCACGTACTCACACAGCCAGTCTGACTTAGACACACCCTACACACAGCACCGCACATACAACTACGTGCCCAGCGGGAAATCCAGAAAGCATGTTACGTCTTCATGCTGGGCCCAGGGTGGGGCAGTTCTGGTTCCTCTGAGTGCAACAGGGCTACCCAGCCTTTCTCAGGAGCTCTGCAGCCTAAGTACTGGCATTTTGTCCAAATCTCTCTGTGATGGCACAGTCCTTCCAGAACATGTCAGGAAAGAATAATGCTGGCCAGTTCAGGGTCACCCTCTCAGTGAGGGGCAGCTGGATTCTATCAACCAGAGCAGGACTAAAACTGCTAAATCTGACTGAAATTGCATTAAGAAGTAAGCAGAGGGACTGTGATTACCTTGTTAGTGACAGGTCTTAAGCCGTCTGCAGCTCTTAAGGGAATCTCCTGAATATTCCTCACAAAATGGCAGGCAATAGCAACATCCATTAATACCAGTGTAGTAGTACCAGGTTAGTTATCCGGCAGGACACAAGAGCCAAAGAAGGTTGTTTAAACAGAACGTACAGAGCAAGTGCTCTGACAGAAACAGGCCTTGGCCCACTGACTTGTCAAAAACACAGTGCAAGGATATCATCTGAGAGAGGCCAGTGGGCATGTGAGGCACAGTCCAATGTCCTGAAAGAGGGCCGGTGTGGTGATTCGGGACAGGCAGGACCACCAGGACCCGCAGCCTTGGCAGTCCGGTGGGTTGAGGACAAGAAGAAATGAGATGTGCACTTGTCAGGATAGCTGAACTATCTTGGTCTGGTTTCCAGTCTCCCTGGAGCACCAAAGGATCAGTCTGAGTTCTCACTCAACATCAACACACAGAATCTTTTGCGTGCCTGATGTGAGGATGCTGAGAGCAGAAACAATGGTTTCCAGAAAGGAAAGGGGAAAAACCAGCCGTTTAACAGTTCCTCTCCGAGATAATTCTTGACACGATTGCTGTAACAACCACTTTGTGTGCCTTCCCTCATGACAATGGTGGGCTTTTCTACATCATGGTTTCATCTTACTAGTTCCTGATATTCCCTCTCCTAAGTCCTCCTGGATTGCCCTGACCCACCATTTGCAGAGGAGCCTCAGTTCTCCCCACTTGACAGGGACGATAACATTTACCTCCCAGGGAGATAAAGACAGTAAGATAAAAACATCTCCAGCATCTGGAGGGCCACGGACCCTTTAGGACTGACCAAAGTTATGTATGTGCTCCCTGCTAAACTTGTGTAAATGTATTTTATTTATTTTTTTTATGTATTTTATTTTTAAAGACAGGATCTCACTATTAAGTTCAAGTTGGCAACCTCCTCAGGTTTGTGCCTCAGCCTCCCAAGTGCTAGGATACAGGAGTATATCACATACACAAAAATTTTAACTCTAGGTTTTTAGGGATTTCATTAATATTCTGAGTCTCTATTTGCAAAAAAAAAAAAAAATCACTGAACAAATATTTTTTTGAGCAGCCAGTATGTCCTACATTAAAAAACCCAACAATGTATTTATTTGCTTAATGCTAGAATACACACCAATTTCAGATTTGCTAGCCCATATCTGAGGGATAAAAATGACTAATGACTATACGATAATTATGTATAGCTCCTTTTGTTTTTAGACTTATAGTATACAGTCAACATACTGTCTCCAAAGTTACTTGGTTTGGTATTTTCTTCCTCGCTTCCCAAGGGTGCTTGTTACTCACTGAATTACAGTTAGGCTGACTTGATGCTGTCTCCACTCCATTTTGGGTTTTACTGACAGCCACGTATTATTTACTTGCCTTTTGAGTATGCAAACACTAACGTAATTCTAAAAGTCAAACTTCACCAACAGGGACACTCAGAGATGCCACTGCTCTCCTCTCCTCTCCCCCACTGCCCCAGTGTCTCCCGCCCGCTTTCCTTGTCTCTTGTCATGACCAATAAAATACTAGTTGCTGCATGCTCTTCACATTTTGGTTTTTACTTAACAATACACCCTAGGCGTCTCTCCACGTGGTTCACAGAGCACTTCCTTTTGCAGTTGTACAATACTCTGTTGTATGGATGTGCCGTAGCTTTTACAACCACTATTCAAGCAGGGACATTTAGTTTGTGCCAATACCTTATAGTTACAAACAATGCTGCAGCAAATCATCCTGTGCATATGCATATCTGTATTATTAGAGGTGTGTCGTTATGGTTAAAACTCCTAGAAAGACTACTGAATTAGAACGCAAGTGCACATGTGGTTTTGTTAAATATTACCAAATTCTCTCGCAACAGGGTCATACCGGTCTGCATTCCCGTCAGTATATGAGTGTGCCTGTCTCGCCACAGAAATGGGCAATTTTTTATCTCGTCGCATACTGTGCCTATGCGGGAGCAGACAGGTACGTCAAGTCACACCGTCAGAAACCATCACTTCCAGCTGACACCATGGCCAGCACCCTAGGCCGACCCCACTATCTTGCTTCGCCTGCCCTGCTGCAGCTGCCTCCTGTTTCTACTTTGTGGTCTTATCTCCTTGCAGCAGCCAGAGTCCTTTAAAAAGACCCCTGTTCAAAATTCCCCACGGCACCCATCTTACCCCGAATAAAAGCCAGATGCCAACGGCTGAGAAGGCAGCCTCTGCCCCATCTCCTGTCACTCTTCTCCACGCTCTGGGCTCCTGTCCCGCCGGCCTGCTGGAAGCCGTTCCCCGCGCACAGCAGCAGTCCCTGGACTTCCGCTCCTCCCCAGACACCCACACGAGCCCACACCCTCACAACGCCGCTCAAATGCACCCCTTAGGAGAGGTCCTTCCCTGAGCCCACGCGGGAGAGTCCCTCCCGTCCTCCATCCCTCACCTCACTCTGCTTCACGAAACTCAACAACACTCAAAGCATTTACTGCATGTGCATTTATTTACTGGCTAGTCCACTGATCATCTGTCCTTCCAGAGAAGGACAGCTTCAGGGGACAGAAACTGTTTACTGGTATAAAGAAAGCAATTAGCACCTATTTTTGTTGAATAAATGAATGGACGACAAAATTCACGAATGAATGAACGAGTTCAGATCTGCTAACTGTTCTTTAGGTACAAATTATTCTTATTTTTCTGTACTCAGTTTAGATTTATCTTTGCCAACTACTTGACCATTAATCATTATTACCTTGCTTTCTTCTGCTATTCTGAGTTACCATCACTTATCTCTTTTTATTTAACTTATCACTTACTTATTTTCTCCCAAATGCATCATAAAAGCACTTTGAGACAAGAACGGTGTACTACTCCTGTTTTTATTTCTCTACCTGGCAATGCATGGTGCTCAGCATTGATCAGGGGCTGATGAATATTTGTCGATTGACCCATAGTGATGTATAATACCCTTACTTCAAGAAAACAGAGAGAACATTAAAAGATTACAGCTTGGGCTTGGGACGTAAGTCAGTGGTTGAGTGATTTCCCAGCTTGCACAAAGCCCTGGCTTGATCCCGGCACCAGGAAAAATAATACAGCTGATGGAGAATGAGATAAGTCATAAGAATGCTAAAATAAGTGCAGTTCCAAAAAGGAATCCAGGCAATGTCCCGGTTTACGAGGAGGGTGAGGCAAGGGAGGGAGAAAGGCTGCCTCTGAATTTAGACCAGCAGTGCTTCCCGTCGCTCCCTAGCCCTCAGGAAGGCTGTTTTGTTGTTGTTCTCATTATCACATAGGGCAGTATCAGAAAACCATTTCTGACGTCCAGTTCCTAGACATCTTTTTGTTTTTTTGGTACCAGAGATCAAACTCAGGACCATGCTCTTGAGAGGCAGGCGGTGGCACCACTGAGCTAAATCCCCAGCTTCTCTTAGACATCGTGATGGTGCTAGTGCACAGACCTGCCCCTCCTATCCATCTTTCCTTCTGGAAAATCAATTCTCTGGCCCTTACACCCACACCCCCCCGCTGAGATCTGTTAGAGTAAAACAGTAGCTGGTAAGGGGTGGAATCTGTCAGGCTCATCTCTGCCCAAGCGGAAGGGTGACTAGCTAAGGCTGAGAAGCCAGCCCTCACAGACTCTCAAACGATGGGTGCAACTTCAGGTCTAGCCAGTTACTAAACGAGTTCTTGGGGATGTTGCATCGAGAGAGAACAAACCAGAACAAAACCTGAATATTTTCAGGACTCAATGCACCATTAGGAAGGGAGCTGCTTCCAGCCAAAGTGGCCCATAAAGCCAACGGGACAACAGTCAGGCTCCGTGCCGGGAGATACTGAACATGCAAGGGTGGTCCAACAGCCCCGTCATCTCACAGCTGTGTCTCCTCACACAGCAGTAGGTTTTACACACACTCTTGAGGAGGGGCCATGCCATTCTGGGGTGAAGATAAATGATATCTTTTTCTCGGCATCCAGGCGTGGCCATCCTGACGTAGCAAACTTTATTTGAACAAGTAAGATGTTATTCCTTTTCCCAAGAATATCAGGATGGAAAGGCAATCCCTATTCTTACTCTAGGAGGAATTCCTGGACATTTTTCCCCATCTTTGCACAAATATGGACAAAGCTGGAACAACACTCACCGTGTCTGCTAATAAACCGGATGCAGCTTTCCACCACCAGAGGAATTGCCTGGCTGGAGTCCTGAAAAGCCAAGGAGAAACCCAACATCAGTCTCCAGACAGGGACAGCCAGGGTCAGAGCTGTGTGGACCAGTGGCGGTCCAACAAGAGGCCCTGGCCTGTCCTCCAAGCCCCAGAACCAAATCTTCATCACCCACTCGGATGCCACACAGACACCACAAGTCCCGCACGTCCTAAGTGGAACGAACGGATCATTGTGCATTCCGAACCAGACAGCCAACCAGTACAGTCTGTTGGGTCTGTCCGCCTCATAACCCCAAATCCATTCATCTCTCCATCTCCGCTGCCAACAACCAGGCTCAAGTCACCATGCTCAGTTCCCACCCTGCCTAGCTGCCCATCCTCTGGTCTATACCTCTCCTCCTGGTCTTTAAAACACACACCGGCTACTGGAACTCTTTCTGAGACTGCTCTGCTCGATAGTGCCCGCCTGCCTGAGGTGGAGCCTTTGGCTCTCGTTCCATCATCCCTCACATCCCTGCCAGAGCCACACTGGCCACCTTTCCTCTGCTCAGAGGAGCCCTGGCACAAGCTGCTCCTGCTGCTGACCCGCCCTCAACTCTGGCTGCGACTTCAGTGTGTAGGACTCAATATCCATTGGCACTTCTCATTACAGCTCAAGGTCAGATCCACCGTCCACGCCTGGGTACCCGATCCTGGCCACCATGCCCTTACACAGGGGATACACAGTAGATGCTCAATTAGTACCAGTTTGAGGTCACAGAATGAATCAGGAAGAGGCTCAGAAAAAGGGTTATTTTGGTGTGAACGCTAAGAAAGAGAAGAAAAAGCAAGTCTTGGAAATGGTGGAGACTACTTGATACTAGGCAAAACAGTCCTCCCAGATGTCAATCTTCGCTCTTCCCCTTGATACACCATCCTGCTCGTGTCGTGTAACTTCTATCAGCTTCCACCTGTCATCTACTGACCAGGGAGGAGACTGGTGGTGAGCACAGTAAGTCCTTCTGGCATGTGAACATCAGTGCCTACCATCTACCGAGGAACTGACACACGCTTGGGCCAGGCCCTAGGTCCTTAGATAGGTCCGCCTTGATAAGAACCCTAAGGGATATGTATTATCATCACCACCATCACTGCCACTTGACCAATGCACACAGGTTCAGTGAGGTTAAACAGCTGCTTCTATTCACGTGGTTGCCAGCTTACAAAGCCAGATCCAAACCCTGGCATCTTCCTCTGAGAGTGAAGACTCTACCACCACCTATACTGCACCCTAGGAGCTCAGCTGACTCTATACCCATGATGACTGAGAACCAGAAAGGTTTCATGATGTGGCTGCCTGCACAGCAATTCAGCTGCACAGAAGAGCAGGCAGAGAGAATTCAGAATCCAGCTAAAAGGGGCGTTGGGACGGAGTCTGGACCCTCAAGTGGAGGGGACCCCTGCACCTTGTCTGTCTGCACCCCTCCTCTGGCTCTGAATGTTCAACTGCAGTCATGGGGTTTGGCTACTATTAGGGAAGCAGCTGAGTCTCATGAACAAGTCCGGCCAAGAGAAGAGCTGCTTTAGCCTCTCTCTCCCAAGCTTGCCAGGAACCAGGGAGCTGCCAAAGGGAGTACCGCACGTTCCAAGGTGGAGCTGAAGTCAGGAAGGTCTCAGTGACCCAAACACTCATCTCTGTGACCCCAAACCAACCCGCTTCTTCTAGTTCCCCAGCCAATGCCTGCTGCCTGGCTCCACTATTCAAAGAAAAAAGCCCCATTTTTGAGGAGTCCTTTTCTGTTTACAGACTTCCGTTATTATATCTTTCAAAAATAGCAGCAGCAGGCATGATGAAGACAGCAATAACAGTGTAAAGTTTCGCCAGTCTCAGATTTATATATAGAGAGCTAGAGGGAGGAAAGTTGGGAGGCTCATAGGTTGCTGTCTTCAACAAGTTACATGAATGCAAAATTCCACCTGGATGCACAGGAAACAGAATACCAGTGTAGTAAAAGTGACCCACATAGGGTTGGCAGGAAAGGTTACCAAAAGCACAATGGAAGTAGCCCAGGGGGATAAAGGTGGGCCAGAGATGACTGTCCCGCTGCAGGGGAGCACTTTCCCTGTCCCCTCTGTTCAGTGGCGCCTAAGACAGAGCCTGAAGGAATAAACAAGGCACAGGGTGCAAAGGCTTCCGCCACCCCTGCCGTTCCCGGCCCCATGATGTTTCCCAGCCATGGGTGAGCTCACTTCTCCACCTGTGCTGCTTGCTCCAGCGGTGCCCAAGCTCACCACCAGCGCACACAGCAGCCGCCGGGTCTCTGCGCATTTTCATTACTGTGTCATTGTCTCTCCCCGCCTCGCCCCGGGTCAGAATCGATGCCAATGTAATACTTAGCTGCACAGAATTTTTAGTCAGATAATCTCAGGGCCAGAAGGGCCTTGAAGGACAATCCGGCTAAATTCCCATCCAGTCAGACTGAGGGAACTGGAGGGAGAAGGACAGCAGGCCTTACTCAGAAGACAGGCAAGCAGCGGCCCAGTTCACTGCAGAAGACATCAGGAAGACGGATGATGCCCAAATATGCACTGTCTGGCGTACATTATTTTGCTTTGGTATTAATTGCTTATTTTTAGATTTTATTTATTGTAATGGAAATAAATACAATCTGAATTTATTTTCTAATATTATGGAACGTAAAAATTGTCCGTAGTAATGGGGCTGTCACGCGATGTTCCTGCGCATGCGCACATCGTATCACGTGCACGTCAGGATAGACAGATTTACCTCCCCCACACCCTTTCATCTCTTTATGGTGAAGACATTCAAGATCCTTTCTGTCAGAGTCTGAAGTGTGCATGTGACATCTACAGTCACCCTACTGTGCGGTAAGGACACACCAGAGCTTCTTCCTTTTGGCTAGTCTCCACTGATCAGCCTTCTCCCGTTGGCATGAATGCGCACGAGGAAGAGGGTTACAGTGCCGGGCGGGTACTGACCTCCAACTGCATTTGTTACATTTCTGCTTACACCAGAAGAGAAAAATGCAAGACTTGACAACAGACTAGATAAGGGTAATGAGAAAAGAAAAAAGGCATCAGAGATCAGATTTGGGGCTATAGGGTCCACAGAGAACAGAGGGCCCCCATCAACACAGCACAGAAGCTGGGGAGGAGCCCGGGTCAGACAGAGCAGAGCAGAGCGGGAGGCTGAAGGCTGAAGGCCAGGGCCCAGGGGAGCTGGACTCTCAGTTTTGAAGCACCAGTCCGGTGCGTCACTCCGGAGTTAAGAGCCAAAGGTGCAGGCAGGTAGGACATGTAGGGAAGGAGACAAAGGCTCCTGCAGGGGCACAGCGTGACAAGGGACAAGAACAGGGAGAGAAGTCCAGAGAGAAGAAATGCCTCAATCAGAGGGATGGAGATGGCCATGAAGATGACACGGAGGGAATGGCCATGGCCAGAGAGGAAAGGCGCGGGCCTGATGGGAGCAGAGATCTGGAAGCAGCAGCTGAGGTACCTTCATTTTAAGAAAAGTCTGGGGTGTTTTGAAGCTACTCTTTGCTAGGGTCAAAAATGGGCAGGAACTGGATGCACTCTTGTTAATTCCAGATATTTGGGAGGCTGAGGCAGAAAGGCTGTCTCAAAACAAAAAAAAAAATCTAAAAGCAGCTGGGACATTACTCAGTGGTAGAGAGTTTGCCTAGTATGTGTGAGGACCTGGGTTCAATCTCCAGCACTGAAAAAAAAAGAAAAAAAAAAGAAAACGGACTCCATAAGGCCCCTCAAAAACCAACTTACCATAAACACAGGGACTTCCGGGTTACCTATACAAGATACCCAACTTGTAAATTACCTACTATTTTACCCTCTTGTCCCTCTTAGAAAAACCTTTTGTCCACCCACCAACAGATCTGAACAGCTGTAGAGACAGGGCAACAGAAGGAAAGCAAAGTGCTCACTGGGCTGGGGTTTATGATACACCCCGGAATGCCTAGCAAATCCAGCATCAGGCACATACACGAGCCTGCAAAGGCTTAGGTGCAGCAGGACACAAAGTCAAATGTCACCCTTCCAATGGTTGAGGCCGATCCGGGTGCCCGGCACCTGCCACACCAGGGGTCCCCAGGACAGAGAAGCAGCCGCGGAGCCCTCACACACATGCTCGATCATCCGAGCAGGGAGCTCAGCTTAGATCAGGAATGGAAACAAACTTCAGGTTTAACCCTATCATTTTCCAGTATTAGGGTGGAAATGGCCTGCTCACTCTTCCAGACGTCTACCCACCAATTTTAAATGCCATAAATAATCCCTGGAAGGTATTCTATTCCTCTGCAGTTTTAAATAAAGTTATGGGAGAAAGAAGAAAGAAATCAAAGAAAAGGGAGAGAGAGGCAATGAAAGTTTTATCATTTCAAAATGTATGAAGAAGCAGGTGTAGTGGCACACGCCTGTGATCCCAGCACTTGAGAGGCTGAGGCAAGAGGACTGCCACAAGTTTGAGGCCAGCTTGGGCTACACAGAAGTTCAAGGCCAGTGTGAACTACATAGCAAGACCCTGTCTCAAAAAAAGGAAAGAAAAGGAAAGCGTGAATACGTCTGATGTGCTCTTCTGAACACAGAGCCACAAGGCAGGGGGGATAATGACAGAGGAGCAGGGAAAGTGAGACCTAAGTGTTCCACGCTCCAGGGCTGCCTGCCCGGCTGGAGCATCTGGACGAGCTGAGGGCACTGCCAACGCTGCCGACACCACAGACCCCATGCGTCTCTGCACGCAGTCTCCCTGTGGTGAGGGCTGCTGTGAGTTACCCAAAAAGACTCTGCAACACCCCAACACTTTCCCTGAGTAGACACAAAGGTATTTCTGAGCTCTCTCCGCCCTCCCCCTGCTGACTACTTTCTGCAAAGCTGGTATAAGCTTAGGGGACATAAAATCATCTCAGTACTTCCCATGAAGTATAATTAGGAAGTCAGATTTGCTACGGCAAAAAGTATTTCAACCACGGTTTTCAAACAAGCACAGCGCTCTTCAGAGCACCCACCAGTGTGGATCATTCACGCCACCGCTCCAAGACCCCTCCTCATATGGGTGACAGCGTGGGCTCAGCACAGCCATACAGAGCATGTCAAACCTCAGAGCCAAACAGCCCTTGCCTGTTGTTCTCAGAGCAGACTCAGCTCTTCGCTACTAGACAGGTCAGGGACACCTAGAACGACCACATGCTACAACAGAGCAAGCTCCACACCTGAGGCAAGACAGTGCTGCCTAGATCAGCTCCTGGGGTCCCTGCCACATCAGTGCGGGAGCGAGGGAGGGCAAGGCCTCTTCTGTGGTGTCCTGGGCAGTTCGGGCACAATTTGTTCCATTTAGATCAAACCTCAAACACACCAGAGGGAGAACAGGTCATAGACTATGACCATCCCGTCTCAGGCTCCATCAATGACCCAAAGTCTTAACCATGCCACGACTCACGGGCACGTTCCAGATGCAGCCTGAAGGCAGAGAAGCGCCTGCCCTGTTCAAAGTGCAGCCCCTAAATGGGCTGTTTTCATGCCAGACAGCCTGGCCCTTACTGAACTCTTACCTGTTTCCTCACGGTTGAGCTACGCCTGTGGATGATTCCACCAAATCAAAGAGGACAATCCAGCCATAGGGAGGAAAAAGAAAATTGGGACAGAATGAGATAAACGACTCTTAAATCCAGAGGTAAAGTTTTTAATTATGAAAACCTATGGAATAATGAAACAAGCCATATTTTTCAGCTCAGTCTAAGAGGCTTCTAAGTTACTTCCCAACTAAAGCCCAGTAAAGCTTTTCTCTTCCTAAAGGCCCTGGGGCCCTGCTTTTATTGTGTACCACCACTCAAACTTTGAATAGGAGGAAACTGGCTTGATTTGGAGTAAAACAGATTTGAATTAGACAGCGAAATATCTCTGCTTGCAAGGAGACTTAAACACCAAGGACACACGTTTGCTATCTCCTGGAAATCCTCAGGGAAGAGAGAGGGAGAAGTTTATTTAGAGGGCAGGGCATCAGACTGGGAGGAACCTGGGGAGCCTCTGCCGCTGTGTTTGCAGTCTGTGTTCAGCCTCCAAGCCAGTCTGACTTGGAGACACAGTGCTCACAACAGGGTAGGGCTGCTCTGCTTTAAGGGAAGGCAGAGGTCAGGGCCTGGCTGCTGGGCCTTGCTCTGTTCCCACTGCCAGCCTACTCCTGATGAACCTCTGAAATCCCAGCTTCTCAGATACAATGGAACGGTCGCACCTTCTAGAAAAGGAAACTGGTGTCCTGGAAGGGGAGAGGAGTGGCTCAGACTCACACAGTCAAGTAGCCCAGCATCAGGGAAGGGACCTTGGCTCTTTTCAGTTTCTCCAGAACCTTCTACAGACACTGGACCTCATGTGAACTGGGACTCTTATCACCACAGGATGCACCCCACAGAATTCCACAAACCTGGTTGCTTCCAGTCCTCAAGATTGGTATATTAATGGGACTTTTGTTGTAATCCACAATGACAAAATGATGAGAGCCAAATGAAGCTATCGCTAAATAACGGGCCTATAACTGTAAATGGCCTTGTGATTACTGTGTGTGCCAGCAGATAGAAAAGGTTGACCTAATGGGCTAACACAGGGTCTCTAAGGAGTCCGGCCCATTAAAGCACTTTCTCCAGTTAAATCAGCACATTTTTAGGCATCTGGGAACTGTTGGCGGAATGAATGTCGCTCTCTGCTAGCTCACGAGTTTTCTCATAGCAGCACTGTGACTGGGAGGGAGAGTATTTAGCTGGGTAGGACAGGGAGGGGAAAGTGGGGGAGAGACAGGGAGAGCTGCATACTTGTACAGAGGGAAAGGACCCTACCAAGGTTATCTGGCAAGCCAGTGCAAACCGCTCTGTCCAACACCACTCACGGGTCAGGGACTGACGACCTTTCTGCATGTAAACACACCTCAGATCAAGTGCTATCTCCTGATCTTCCTTTATGGGCCAGTGAATTCCCAAAGCCTACATGCTGAAGCAAGGTTAGGTTACCAGGGTCCTTCCCGACTCAAATGTTTATTTTCCTTGCAATACAGAAGCTTTTGGGTGTCGCTGGGTGTATTTCAGCAAACCCGTTACCACTTGGAACAGATGGGTTAGTAAGGACAAGGGAAGGAACCTCCACCCCAGGGCACTCCTTTACAAAGTCCTTCGGCATCTTTACAACTCAACTCCTTGGCCATTTCTCAGGCTGGAATCGCTGGACCCACAGGCCTCTCTCTATCCCTCCCTAGGCCTGTTGCAAACCACACCTACCTGGCCAGACTGCAATCTGTCCGCTGACCTGCAAAGTTAAAGGCAAAAAGCATATGTTGAAGCAAAAGGGGTAAACAGTGGAGACCCACTTCTGGGAATTACCAAGCCCTGCCCATTCCCCCAGGGAGCCACCAGCCAGAGAAGAACACAAGGGACCCAAGTCTCCTTTCGGGCAAGGACATTCTTTGCTGGTTCCCAGGCCACAGTTGCTGGTATTCTCAAACCTCACACTTGCCACCTCTGCTTCCTGGTGAGAAACAGGCATGGATGTAGAGGAATCTGGCAGGTCACACTTTTAACAAATTATTAGAGGCCTTCCCAGAGGCCTTCCCAGAGAGGAGCTTTAGCTTCTCATGTGTATGCTGGGTCTATGCACAGTGGTAGGGAGTGCTGGGGAAAGCTCACTCGTTCCTCAGTGTATGAATGAACACAGACACTCTCTCTCTCTCTCTCTCTCTCTCTCTCTCACACACACACACACACACACACACACACACACACACGGCTGGGAGAGGAAGAAGGAAAAGGAGTGCTTGGGGAGAGGGTGAGAAGATGTGTATATTCCAGTTTTGGATTCATACAAAGTTATGCCATTTGCTGGTCTTTCTTTATGGGTCAGTGAATGCTCAAAGCCGATATGCTAAAACTAAGGTTAGGTTACCAGGATCCCTCTCGAGTCAAATGTTTGTATTCCTTGTAATACAGGAGCTTCGGGGAGTCTCTGAGCGTATTTCAGTAAACCCCATTACCATCCGGAACCAGATGAGGTTAGTAAGGACAAGGGAAGAAAGCAACCTCCACCCTAGGCGGGACCTGCGGGTAGTAAGGCAGAGCTGAGCTTCAGTGCCAGCACTGCTAGTGAATCACGGTAAAATGAAACCTAACACCTCTAATTCATAACAAAGCAACTTTAATACATATACATGTATCCATGGGCCAGGATTAAAATATGGTGCTTTCTTTGGGTCCACAGTTAAAGAAGCTTAATCTTTATTAGACTGTGTTGGGTAAACCAGGGCAAATTGTGGCAGGCGCTGAGCTGGGGAAGGAGGGGGCAGCTCTTGCACTTTTCACCCAAAGCTCCGACACAAGGGCTAGGAGAGGGCAGGGCTTTTTCTCGCCTTTCAAGCTTGCTAACTGTTGATTACAGTTCAGCTTTTCCTGAGCAATACCATCCCCCAACCCAACAGCCTCTCCTTACCAAAAGCTCAGCTTTCATCTGTAAAAATATTATTCTGAGCCATTATTTTCAACATCTGTCCCATTTCCATTCTGGAATATTCATACACATCAATTATCCCTCTGTGGCAAGAACAAGGGGCTCTCACATTATGGTGACAAACACATACAGAAGGCAGGGACATGACGTTTAGCGCACAGGAAGATTTAAAGCTATTTTTTTCCTTTATTGCAAGAACTTGTCATCTTTCGATTAAGGCAATTTGCAGCACTAATGAATGGTCAACCTTCATCCCTCTGGAGCAGCACATTTGGTGCATTCATGTATGGTGAGCAAATCCATTCATACACGCGCATGCACACACACACACACACACACACACACACACAGCTCCCTATTTACTTACAGGCTATGCTTAGATTGTCTGGCCTCTCAAAAAAAAAAAAAAA